TTATTTAGTGGTGTTCTTTTTAGAATAATACGGCAAGCCAAATCCAACACAGCCTCTGGAATTTTGAGGCTGAACAAGCCCCAGATGCCCTCATGTTGTGCAGATTATCTGCACAGATTCTGTCCTGACATGCTCGGTGACCAAGGGCTGCCCTTAGCAGGCAGAATTGTGATTCTCTCTTCTCTCTCAGCCCCCATTTATTGAGATATCTTAGCAGTAACCAGACACAATGTCTGTGTTCCACAGGCTGTTCTTGGCAGAGATTTGGTTTGGTGCATTTCTCCAGCAAATTGCCAATTTTTTTCAGAGATCTGTGAATCTTTAAAGCAAATGCAGTGGGCAGCTCCCTCTGAGCAGTGTGGCAGCCTCTGTCCTAACTTTGGAACCCCCTGTAGAAATTTGGATGAGATCTATGCCTTGCAAAAGTCTCTCAAAACAGTTGCATTATTTATTTTTATCTGCTTCAAGGACAACACTTTTCAAACCAAGAGATGACACAGAGGAGCCCTGGGCTGTATAAATATAGAATCTTTTTTATTTTTTTTGGTTAATAGATACAGTACAATTTTTGACTACATAAGAAAGCATTGTTTTCAGTGCATACATTCTTCAGGCAGACAGGAACATGGCAGACAAACATTCCTTGGTGGTTTGAACATGGCACTTGGTTTATTTCTGTAAGTCCCAAGTTCCTGGCTTTCCCCAGTTTTCCTTCGTTTATTTCTGTAGGTCCCAAGTTTCTGGTTTTTCCCAGTTTTCAGTGGCTGCTTTGACAACTCAAGGTCTAAGGAAAAATGAATTTAGTGCTACCAGGAGAACAGGACAGTGCTCAGTGCATCCCACATTGTTCTCCCTGTCACCCTTGTGGTCCCAGCTGACTCAGGTCAGCAGGTTTTCCATTCTGTGTTCACAGAAATGGAAATAACAATGTCAAACAAACCACCCAGGGCTTGGGCTCAGCACCTCCACAGTCCCCTGTACTGCCTGACTCCTGAGAGGCCCAAATCCCAAACTCCTCCCTGAATCTCACTTGTGTAAGTTGGTGCTGGTGCTGTGACTTTGGCAAAATTCTTTCTGTTCTTTTGTGGTGTAGTAAAAACCCAGGAAAATGGATCTCAGTGTTTGGCCATTACATTTTCAGGGAGGAGAAAAAGAATTATTGCTGCCTTTTGTGTTTTTAATTCACTGTATGATAAGGAAAAACCTCCAGGCTGATCTGTGAGTGTGATTCTGACCCTGAGCAATTCCTGTGTTCAGGGAAACCTGATAATGCTTATCTTGCTCTGTAGCTATTTGCTACAGGAACCCTTTGCAGCAGTTCCTGGTGTGTCCCCTTGGTGCTGGTGGGATTTAGGGATCCTGGAGCCCAGCTCACATCCCCATACAGATGGAATCTGCAGAGTGAGGCAGGACATGAAGGGTAAATGAGGGGACAAATCAGGACCCAGCCTGGCCAGCTGCAGGCTTGCATGGCAGCTGAGATTCCTGCAGTGAGCACAGAGCAAATCCAGTGACAGGAACACCTGGGTGCTCTGGGGTGCCCTGGCATCGGCCAGGCAGGTGAGGGAGGGAGGCTTTGTGTCACTGGGGTGTCAGCAGAGCCCTGATGTGTTCACCTGCAGCACTCAGGGGGTTTGTTTGACACCTTTACTCAGACTTTGAGTTTTATCTGATTTCCTTGACATCCCAAGCAGATACTTGGGATACATCTTTCTGGGGATTCCCTTCTTGTGGGGAGAACCTTACAGAAACCTCATTGTTTGAGGAAAGGACTCTGGGAAAGATCACATTCACACAGTCACCAGCCTTCATTTTGCTCCAGACACCAATATTGAAAAATCAGTAGATTAAAAAGCTTCTCCTATTCAGGGAAGGACACAAAGACACTTCCAGACAAACTAATACAAACTAATTTTCCTTGGCTATATATAGAGGGTTTAATGTGAAAATCTCACTTTAGATTATCTAGTTCAGCCTCTGCAAGCACAAGATAAACAGCAGTGAAATGATCCTACACCTGATCTTAGGGAAAAGGCAGAGCAAAGCAATCCAAGGGGACTGGGAGAGCAAATAACAAGAAACAAATGAAAAATAGAGAAAAGGGGAGACAGGAGATTGTTACAACAGCAGCCTGAACAAGAACATGCAGGTGAAGGCACTTGGACAACTGGTGGGAGGTGATTGTTGGAGAAGAGAAAACAAAATTCCATGGAGAGCTCCAAGTTCCTTTGCCCTGATTCTCTGGGCGTCCAGGAGCACAAAAGCAGGAGGAGTGAGCACCATCAAAGGAAACAAAGGTACATGTTAATACAGATCCCACTGAGCTCAGGTTAGAGAAAGCAGCTGGCAGACAGGAGTCGAGTAAGAATCCCTGAGAAGTCTGAAAAAATAATAAACATCACATCATTTAAACAATTTACCCCTTCTGATCCTCTAGCCAATCCACCAGCCTCCAATAAAAACCCAGGCAGTGGGAATCCCTCACCTTTAACACATGCTGCACATGGTGACACTTCCAGGAATGAGATAAACCTGCCAAATTCCTCCAAATTCCTGTTTCCTAACTGAAACTAAATAAATGGAGAAGAAGTGAGAGGCAGAGGCACTCCCAGCCAAGAGAGCTGCTGTGCCATGGCACTATGGGGCACTGTAAACTGGAGCCTGGCCTGCAAGCATTAGTGAAATGTTTAGTACAATACTTAACTCTGTTACATCTGGGTAGTTCTTTCTTTTTGGACTAAAATGTTACAAATTTTACCATATAAATGAAATACTATATTTGTTGCTACAGGGTACACTATATACATCATTGGAAGAAGAGAACAATAATTAAATTAAGGGAGGCAAGAGAAGGACAAACAAAATATTAGTAAATAAAATAGAATATGTTCAATAATACTTTTCAGACAATACTTTTGCTTGTTACATTTACTATAAGGAGAAAAAAATCTTCCATGAAATGACATTGGAAACAGCTGCCCAAACATCAGTCAGTCCCTTCCATCGCTGATGTGCTCAGGACGTTCTCAGTTCTGCCCCTGCAGAGCCCCCTCAGTGGGGCTGTCAGTGCAACCAGGGCTGTAACCAGCTGGAGCATGGAGCTGTGCCTGTGCCACCACCTCAGGTGGCACAGAAGGGCTGGTGGTTGTCACCGAGAGCCACAAGGGCCCTGGCTCCCCAGATGTGCTCCTGTGCCTCTGCCCTTGGGGAACCCTGCAGCTCATCCTGCAGAGAGGGGAAAGGGGAGGCCCCATGCTCAGCTCCCCCAGCAGAGCAGAGCTTCCCATGCTCCTCAAAACACAGAGCACACCTGCAGGTTTGGTTCCTGCATTTCAGAGTTCCTCAGTGAAGGTTTTTCAGCGCTGTTTTCTCACCCTCCAGCCCAAGGTGCAGTGACAAACATCTCCAGCTGAGGCATCAACAGCAGAGCCGCACACAGGCTGCACCTTCTCTTCCTTTGCCTCATCAGTCATTTATTTCCACAAGAACTGATTGATTGATCAACCAGTTGATTGATCAGAGCTATAGATAGCTAACAGTGTTTGATGGAAAACCAATCCAGTGAGCTTCCTGGGGCTCATCAGAATTCTTTCCCAGTAGTTTCTTCTCTTCTCTGACCAGCTCTACTTAATACATAGGTACTAAAATACAAAGCAGTGCAAAATGACCATAAAGCAACTACAGCCCACACCTATCTAGCAGGTGCACTATGAGCAGGGGGCTCTGGAGGGACTGCAGGTGATTTCTAAGGGACTCTGAAGTCAAGGAGAAGAAGCAGTGCAGTTCCCCAAAGCCCATCCTTCAGATGCTTGAGAGTTCACAGTTAATGTTGGGAGGGTTTGGAGATTTGTTTTCCCCTTTGATAATACCTGAGGCTTGTTTGTGATTCCTTCAGCACAGCCCACTGCAAGCACTCATCCAGAAAACTTCCTTGGCTGCTGCGAGGGTGTGCAGCTGTCTTTGCCAAGGTAACGGCATCATTTTGCAAGGCTTGCATTTCATCCTCCTCTAGTCTGAATCATGAGAAAAAATTCTTTTTCCACTGAAGAAGTCAAATCAAGGGAGAAAAAGAAAGTGGTGTGCAGAGCTTGGAGGAAACTGCACAGGGAGCCATTTACAGATCAGTTTGTAACTCAGGAGGTTACAGCCCTTGCTGTCAGTGAACATCTTGCTCATCCTGGTTTTTTCTCCTTGCAGCCTGGAGACCTTTCCCTTCCTAAATTTTAAAGCCAACTCTGATTGTTACAGAGCACATGAAAGGCTAAGGATGATTTGCTGATTGGTGAGGCAGCTGTGATGATGCACAGGCCACACAGGGCACCTGGGCACACTTGTAACAGTCCCTGCCACCCCCAGCTCTGGGGCAGGGGCAAACCCACTGTCAGTGTCTCACATGGGAGAATTTGTGATCCTTTCAGTCCTGCTGCAACAACAGCTTTGAATTACCCTGAACCAGGAAGGGCTTTGCATTTGATACCAGTATTTACCTTGGCAAGACAGAGAGAATTGTGTGTCACATGGGCTTGCAGCTTAACAGGGAGAGTATCCCCAGGGCCAAACCCTTGGGCACCCCCACAGAATCCAGAGGAAATGCTGTTTTCTGTTTTGTGTGTTGTTTTAGTGAATAGCCTGTGTGCAGAAAGGAAACATAAAAATGCTGCTGCCCTGCTGGTGCCTCAAGGGTGTGTGTGAGTTTTTGTGTAACTCTTGTGCTGGTAATGAGAGTTTTCTGCACATTCACACAAAGGTGTGTGTGAGCTGGGAAGTTCTGTTTGAGTTGAGAAGGTTCTTGCTTAAGGCAGTGATTTTGCCTTGCAACCATTACAGAGCATCTCCAGCAAGGTTCCCTATTGCATGTCTGCAGAATAAACTGCTGTTGGAACAAGGGGAGAGCCCAGGGGCTCAGATTGACCACACTGTGTGCCCTGCTGCCCAAAGAGCAGGCACACGGACACTACCAGCCTGCTCTGGGCCATGCCATCATTAGGAGTGAATCCTCTGGGCAGTGGAAATGACTAAATCCAAATTTCAACCAGAATAGCTTGGATTGCAGAATATTTCAGAAATATTTACAGGAGGTGAAATCCCAAATTAGGAAGGGTGTTTCAGTTTTCTCCAAGCCCAAACCTTTAATGTGGCTGCTGCTGTTTTCAACAGATGCCTTCCAGCACTGGCCTAACCAATCCCTGTGGGATGTGTCAGGGCCAGCAGCTTGAATCCTGTGTTCCCAACCAGCTTGGCATGACCCTCATGGGGTGAAGTGGGGATGCAGGAACCTGTGGGTGTGGCAGTGCCAAGGAACAGCCCCAGCCAGGGGGAGGAGTGGCAGCAGTTCAGGGTTACAGCTCCCATCATGACCCTGACAGTCAATGTCATTAATTCACTGCAGATCTTGCAATAGGCCTTTAAAGAGGAGAGAAGATGCTCTGAAATTGTTTCTAATCCCATCTGAGATGTGCCAGCAGAAACATGTGAAGCATTACCCCAGCAGAGCTCCCTCCTGTGCCACCCAGGCTCCCTGGGGCACAGCAGAGCCTGGCAGGGCTGAGCTCAGCCCCTGGGGCCCTGCCTACACTGGGGGGGCTGAGTAGTGCATGACAGAGTTGTAGTCTGGGGGAGGGCTGTGGCACTCCAGGCTGGGGTCCATGGGGAGCAGGACAGAGTCCTCCAGGGGGAACTCCATGGTGTCCTCTTCCACCTGCACTGCTGGCTGGTACTTGACAGTGTCGTGGTCAGCCAGGATGGATTCCTTGCTCCTGCTCACAGCTCTCCTCCTGTTGGAACAAACATGGGGATGTAGCCAGCCTGTCTCTGTAACCAGTGGTCAAAATGATTTCTTGAAGAAGCAAATACATAAAAAATATCAATTTATCTCTATGGCAATCTGTAAGACAATTTTGCTGACTGGATGAGGGAACTGAGGTATTTTAAATAACTCTGTGTTTTAAAAGTAGATTAGGGGTAATTCCAGCTCTGCTGCCCTGTTCTTTCAGCTCACCACATTTCAGTACACCACAGATCTCTTACTTGTAAAGGCACCTGTCCTGTACACACAGTAACATCCTCCCTCATTGTTCTGACACAGGTCAGTAAAAATTTGACTTTTCTGAAAGCAGAACTGAAGGCTATGACTGTTCTTGAAGCATGATAAGGGATGAAATACTGAATAATCTCTGGCAGATTCTAATTTAAACCAATACTGAAAGCAGGAGCGTGTGTTGAACATACCCAGGCAGTGCAGGGCAAAATCCCTTTTATATTCCCCAGCCCTTTAACATTCCTGACCTGCTGGAGGGCAGTGCTTTGTAGCATCCCAGCTACTTTTGTTCCCTGTCTTCCCCTGTTCCAGGTGATAGAAAATGGGACAGAGCAATTCCATCACATGGGGCAGCTTCAGGGCTCAAAGCAGGAGAACTCTGTGACAAAGTGACCTTGAGGAACAGCAAGGGCTGTGGAGAACTCAAAAGGTTCTTTCTGTCACAGGCTGCCTTAAAAATTATATTCTGTCAACTTTGGTTTGCACTTCCATGGTGCCAAACCAGGACACTGAGCAGCTCCTTGGAAGAGGCCTGGATAACTGAGGGGTGCTCTAAAGGATTCCAGTGTGGAGTGGCCTTTGAGCTGTTGCATTTTGCTCAGGACCCTTTAATCTTGGGAAGGAACCTCAGCCACAGACTCATCACAGCACTGCTCAAGCTTCAGCTCAGAATGACTTGAATGTGCCTGGGAGAATTAAAAATCAGGCAGTGCCCAAGCACTTTGTGTATGTGCTTCATGTGTGTTTAAAGTAGTATCAAGTTACATTTTAATGACCCTAAACCACATCTGAATAGTAAACAGTTCATCAAATAATTGTAGAATTCATTACACTCATTTTATTGGCACTTGTGCAGTGCTTCCAGCCCCCAGCAGCTGCTCATGCTCTCACTGGGATGCTTTAGGAAGAAAGCAGAGCCAGTTCCTGCTCCAGGGAACAAACCAAAGCCAGGAGCCACACACAGCAACTGGAGGGAAGGCAGCAAAGCCATGGATAGGAAAATGGCAGATCCAGGATGGGAACTGTGTGTGTGTGGTGTTTTTTGGATGGTACAGCAGAGAGAGCAGGTTCAATGGCCACACAGAGCTCCTTTCAGCTGGAAAGGGTAAATCTGCCCTGCTGGGTTCTGCTGCTGGGACTTTACAAGTTGTGTTCTCTCTGAATCTGGAACCTGTCAAAAGTTTCAGGTTTCCCATGAGCTGCAGATATTTCCACTGGCTGGCAGAACCAGTGTCACTATATTTAAAAAAATAATAATTTTTTTGCTGGTTCTGGAAAGATCCCAGGTGTTAGAGCACTGGCTGGAGTAGAGCAGTGGTTCCTGCACAGGAGCAGCCTGCAGGCTCCATCTGTGAATCACCCACAGAATGTGTGCTCATGTTCTGTACATCACCCATTAAACTCTTGTGCAGCCAGATTCAGACACAACACACAGCTGAGCTCTGACCAGCTGCACTGGGACATGGGCTGGTTAATTCAGGGTCTGATTTCAGTGTTCTGGGCTGGCTTTCCATGGCAGGTTTGCACCTCCAGCTTTGGGAAGTGAGCCTGAGCTGTAGGAGCCAGCCCACCACGTCTTGCCTGCCTGGAATGAGCCTGGCTTCCAGGATTGCTGCAGTTTATAGAGCAAAGCTGCTGTTTCTGTGCTTTCAGACCTGCACAAGGCATTGAAACCAAACCTGTGGAGTGGCAGAGCAGAAATTCTAAAATAAACAGTAACCCTGAGAACTTCAACAAAAAATGTAGCACCCTCTGCTTTCACAACTTTTACCTCATTGTCCAGAGAGAAACAGGAGTGGAAACTCCTTTTGTATCCTACAGGTTTGGCAGGTGTCCATTCTCCACACACACAGATAAACTGCAGATAAACTTCCCTGCCATGAGCCATGCAACCACAACTTTGTTTATTTATGGAATTCTCATTTGTTGCTCAGCTCCGTTGGCTCGTGTCAGACAATTCCATGGATGCTCTGGCTTCCAATTTGCCAGGTATTAAAGTTGTCATGGGAGGCAGGGAGAAGCTTGAGAGCATCAGTTTAATTTGGAAGCTTGAGGGGAGTAGTTTTAAATTATTAGCTTTAAGTATGGGGATACTGTAAGTGCCTTAAAATTAATAATTTAAAACTACCCCTTATAAGTCTTACTACAATACATCTTTCATAGTTCTCTTTCTCTAAAGTATCTAGTCTTACTTACAAAACCATCCTTTAAAACTTATTTCTAATTCTATTTCTCTCTCAACAATGTTTATCCTATTCCATAACATTTCTAAGTCAACATTTCTTATCTCAAAGTTTACATATAAATACATGCTACATAAACCTTCTGTCAAACTTTAAAAACTCTCTACAAATTCATTTCCCCCAAGTACACTTTAATTTGGCCCCCAACCTGCATATCTATGGGTTTATTAGGGTTAAAAGGGGAATTTCCAGCCCCCTGTAGACTCCCAGCAAGTTTTCCTGTTGGGTTCCTGCCCCTGTGTGTCAGGAGTTCGGATATCTGGGAATAAATAACTCTGCCTGGTGCTGAGATCAGGCTGGGCTTTGGAGGACTCCTGAATGTCCCGACAGAGCTGCTGAGCTGGGTCAGAAGGAAGTTGTGTCACTTGCTATCTAATGGCAGACCAAAATGCAATTAACTTCCAATACTATTCCTTTCATCTCAATGCATTTCCTAATTAAAGCTCTCTGTGGGGCTTTGCATTTTCCCCTTTCATGCTGCTGTCACAGACAGAGCCTGCTGTGCATGTACAGCTGTGCTGCTGGGGATGAGGCTGCTCCTCCCTTTCCATCTGTCCTTGCCACCTCAGGATGTGCCCCTGCCTGGCTGTGCTCAGTGCCTGGGGCTCCAGGGTCCCCAAAATCCCTTCCTGGCCTGGCCCCTTGGCAGGTAAGAGCCTAAATGGGGGATGTGGGACTCCAGGGGCTCTCCAAAATGCAGTTTATTGTATCCAAGAGGTTCCAGCATCCAGGGTTGTGGGTGACAGAGCTGTGCCCACAGCTGTCAGCTCCAGCTGCAGGCAGTCCTGAAGACCCTTTGGTTTTGGTTACAATGCATTATATCCTTTTCTTTTGGTTACACTGCATTATATACTTTCCTTTGCTGAGCATCTTAATACAGTAGAACCAATCTATACCTTAACTTTTATCTATAGCCTATCATAATTACTACAATTACAGAAATATATATATTTTATAGTTATAAATATATATAATTATAGTAATACACATAATAAATACTATATATACAGCATTTATATAGTATTTATTTTATATATATATATATATATATATATAAAAATAAATACTATAGTTATTACTACAATTACCATATTCATGTTACTATTCTCCAATCACTAATAGTACATTACAGTTTAAGCTAGAAGTTGTTTTTTGTTTTTCAGTTTGCTTGCAGTAGAAAATTCTGAGATCTTTTTCTGACTTGCAACATCAGCAGGCTTGTTTGCCTGTGCTCTCTTCCTGCTTGGTAAAAACATCTTCTTGTTTGGGGTGGGTTTATCCTTTGCTCTAAGCCATAAAAACCCCTTCTAACTAACACATCCTTTGCCTCCTTGGTTAGCCAGTAAGACTGGCTCAGCAATTCTTTTCTTCTATATCAAAACTTGCTTCCAACTCTATTCCTTCATCAGACTCTACATTTAAAAATCTTTCTGCCAAGCACACATATCTGTGAGACTTTCTTGTCAAACTTTCATCCTTCTCAACAGGTCCCAGGGACCCTCTCACAAATTGCAGTGATCACCCTGAGAACTCACTCTCCATGTACAAGGTGTCCTGTCTGAGGACACAGCCTGAATATTAAATAATCTTCCACGAAATTTTAGTTTTCTGAAGGCACCAAAGTTGTTTAGAAGATAGCACAGAGGATAATCCTGCAGTATCTTGAAGGCCTGAGTGACCTGCTGAGGCTTTTTCTTCCTACTGTACAAAACCAGAGATTTTGGAGATAGAAAAATACTGAGACCATCAAAGAGCTGGGAAACCATTAGTGGAGCTGTTTATTTTATGTGAGGGAGGCAATTTCTGTTAATCTACACTTTGGGGTCAATGACTTGAAGGGGACTGTGGAGAAAGAAGGAAAATCCCCCTGTGCAGGGAGGGATTCCTGCCCCAAGTGCAGCAGCTCCTCCTGCTCTGCAATAAAAAACCCAGGTATTTTGCTCTCAGTAGGAAAAACTAGTGGACTTTTCTGTCCATGTAGGAAACCTGGCCATGTTCAGAGGCTGTGTTTGGGGAAAGATGAGAAATTGGGCTGGTTGTTGCCAAGTAGAGCAGTTTGTCTCATGACTACCTCTCCTAATAACATGTAGGAGCTTCAGGGCTTTGTAGGAGCCTTCAAAGATGTTTAATAAGGCTCAGAGTAAGAGTGTTGTTTCTTTTTTTAAATTTTAATTTTTCAGCAATTAAAGAAATAAAAGGATTATTTTTTCCTTCTGGTAGCTATGACTGATTCACAGTTTGCTTTAATACATTTTCAGCTGAGTGCTGTGCAGGAGGAATTTCATCCTGGGTTCCCCCTGGCATACCAGTGCATCAGCATTCTGCTGGCAGGAGAACTCGAGGGGTGAGCTCAGGAATTCATTGTTTGGAAGCACTTTCAAACACAAAGTGCAGGTAATAAAGTTTTCCCAGGCCAAAGCCACCCTCATGTCTCCTCACATGTGTGGCCAGGCTGCTCAGCTGTCCCTGTCCAGAAGCAGTGGGATGGAAAACACTGCAGTCAAACCCACAGCCTCTCACAATTCCCCTTCCAGTACTTGTTACTGTCAGCACAGGGAATAATCCTTGGAAAAAAGTGCTTTACATAACTCCTGAGTAGCTACTCATTCCAAGTTCTAGTTTGGAGACCTGAGCTCAGGTAACATTGCAAGGTGCTGCATGGCACAACAATAAAAGTATTTATTATTTCTGAGCTCCATTCTGCCCTGGAGCAAACATGTTTCCATGCCTGGTTTCTGTGAGAAGCTGAGAAAGGATTCCAGGCCAATCCTGGCTGTATTTTTGTTGTGTTCTGTGTGTTTGGACATGAATGTCTGCTGTTGCTGAGCAAAATCCCCATTTTAGTGTTGCTGCCTTGCCTTGGGCCCAGCTTGTTTTGGCAAAGGGAGAGCCCAGAGCTGGGATGTGGGTGCAGCACCCAGAGCCCAGGGAGGATCAGCTGGGCCTCAGCTGAGCTGTGGGCCTGGGCCAGAACCAAGCAGGGATTTCTGAGCAGCACAGGGTGTTGGGTTTGGGGGAGAAGGGAAGAGCTGGGGGAGGACAACTCTGCAGATACCAAACCTTTTGTCATCTTAAACAATAACTTGATTATAGAGTGTCTGGAGGTTTTAAAGCAGTGCTTGGCAGTAGCCTGATAATATTATGAGCTGGGAGCTGACACCAGAGTCAGCCCTTCATTAAATCCCCTGTGCTCCCTGTGCTTGCCTGAATGCTGATTCCAATGTTGTTATCCCAGCCAATCTTTCCATCTCTCACTGCAGATACTGCTGTGACTTTCTACTTCAGCAGCATAAAACACCCAGAACTTTCCTGCTCTAAAAGGAAAAGCTCAGACTTGCTTAGTGCAGCCTAACAGTGAGCCCAGGCCCAGAGTATCAGATTCATCCTCACTAAACTCTTGACACTGACACTCCATGGTGTGTGCTGTTGGCAAATTTTAAACTCAACAGAGGAATGAATGTAGCATAAATAAACAGTGAGATTTTGGCAAAAATAATAAATGCAGCCACCCTGGTTTAGAAAACATGCTAAGCCTTTGAACAGTTTTGTTTTAGAAAAGAAAGACTTTGAAAAGGATCCAGGGTAAATGTTTTTGATAGAGAGAGATACACCATTAACAAGGGTGACTTTATCTCCCCTGTTAAACCCACACTCCCTTCTGACCTCTCTAGAATGTTCCACAGGCTTTGAGCCTTGTTTGGCCTCTTGTCAGTGCAGGAGCACCCAGGGGTGTCCTGTCCTCAAACCAGAGGGCTTTGGGGTGCTCTTTGGGCCAAGGAGGGTCTGCAAGATTCCAAAAAAATAAAAAAAGGCAGCTGACAAAAAAATCTTTCTCAGCTGGAGCTCAGACTCTCAGGGAAGGACATGGCAGGGAGAGCCACAGCTCTGTGTGTGCTGTGGCAGCAGGAGAACAGCACGGCTCCTTGCAGGCTCTGCTGGCACAGAAGGGCTCAGGAACCTCGAGCTGGATGGAATCTCATGGCAGGGTTGAGTGGAAGTGGGGAGAGCCCAGTGGTGGGGCCAGGCAGGGATTCACTGCCCCACAGAGCCTCCCCCCCACTCCCAGTGACCCTGCTGGCAGTTTTTTCCTGGAAATCTCTAAAGGCTGTCATGGGGTTTCTGTGTTTCCACATCTGGCTGGGTGCTGACTTCTCAGATTTTCAGGAGAAAGCCTCAAAGGAGCAGAGGGGGAACCTTCCTGTGCTAGCTCTTTATCCAAACAGGAGAAATGCAGCAGGGAAAAGCTGTCAGGGGTGGGTGACAGAAATCCCCAGAGGGATAAATGCCACCAGGGAGGCTGCTGGATTGGTGTCAGTGTGACATCATGCAGCAAAGAGGTGAATCAGCCCAGGTAAGGCACCACAGTAATGCAGCTCCTGACATTTCAGCTCCTGTTTTGGAGCTGCTGCCATTTGGTCTCCATAGCAATGGATTGTGCTGGCAGGAATGCTCTGGGTGTGTGCAGGGGATAAAAACATGGAATTGGATCAGGATCTCTGCTAATCCCACCAGGTCCAGCCCTGGGACAGGGAAAATACTGCTGGGCAACACATTCCTGAGGCCACACTGCCTTCCAGCACAATCCGCAGCATCCTAATGCTCCTGTTAGTGTTGTCCACCTTTCCTTAGGAAATCTTCTCCCTTTTCCTTCCCTCCTTCTCCCTTTTCCTTCTTTCTCCCTTTTCCTCCTCTCCTTCTCCCTCTTCCTCCTCTCCTTCTCCCTTTTCCTTCCCTTCTTCTCCCTTTTCCTCTCCTTCTCCCTTTCCCCCCTCTCTTCTTCTCCCTTTTCCTCCTTTCCTGCCCACAAACACCAGGGAATTGATGCTTCTAAAGCATCAAAAGACAAGGCAAGCCCTTTCCACCTCCTTTTCCCTCTGAAGGAGAGTCACCTCCTCCAGAACTGCCCCACCCTGACCATGCCCTCTCCTGGCAACTCTCCCAGAATATCCACAAGTGCACCACGCTTCTTCTCATCCCTCACTTCTCTTTAGTGCAGAAAAGGGGTGACTTGGTGTACAACAAGCAACTGCTCTGCTGGGAAAGGTCATGGAGTTCCTCAGTGCACAGAAAATTCATACAAAGCTCAGTAGATTACAGAGAAAACTCTAGGCAAGTCGTAATTAGCTTAATTAACTGAGTAGACAAGGAATTCATTGCCACATAATAATATATTTTTTTAGTATTTTGAGCAGCTATTCTTTGAAATTCCACACGTTGACATTTGAATCAGTAAAATGGGTAAATGTTGTTAGGAAGGTGGAGAAGTTTTTTACTACTGGGACACCTCTGCCTGTGTGGTTGTTACTGAAATACAGAGAACTGTGAGCAAAAAGCAAAAAATCTGCTTTTAATCTTCTGTATTGCACTATGAGTGGATAAACAAACAGTAAACCCTGTCCCAGCCTCTGTTTGTAAAGCAGGTGTGAACAACAGCACCCAGGGATTACAGGGGTTGTGGGATTTAGGGAATTCTCTGCAGCTCTGTCTCGTGATGATGAAGCAATCAGGGCTCTGGTAAAGGACTGCTCTTTGCTATGAACAAGCATTTTAAGTTTACTCACATCCCATGAGCTGCAAAGATGCCACTCCTGTCTGACTTCAATATACACACTGGTATAATTACAAATGTCAGCTTTTGCATTAAGGAATCAAGTTCTTCAAACTCTGCTCCATCACTAAGAGAGAACACTGGGGAAGCAGTGAACAAACAGCTAAATTTGACCTCTGTATTCTCCTTTTTTCCTCCTATCATCTCCTATTTGCAGAATCTGCTGCCCCTTGATCTTAAAACACATCACCAAGGTTTTCTGCTTATGGGGCTGAAATTCAGAGTTCGTCTCCTCTCAGCTTGCCTGGATGTCCAGAGGTTTCCTTTTGGCAGCAGAAACCAAACTGCACATTTCAAGAGCATTTCTCTGAAAGGAAGAACTGTCTGAAAAAGAAATCCCCCAGAGTACTCACGCCAGAGCCATGATCCCGTAGGGCCAGGAACGGATCTCCAACCTCTTGGGGCTTTTTATCTCCTCTGAGGTCAGCACCATGCCACTGTCAGACTCCTGGGGAGCAAAAGGAAGGGAACATCAGGGACATCTGAACCTGGGACTGCTGCAGGAGCCACCAATCCTTCAGGATATTCTTTTATCAAGGCCTGTGTTATCAGTTTTCATCCAAGATAAAAATTCCTGATCATGCTGCTCTGGAGCCTGGGAATGTTTCCCTTGTTTTTATGACATTAAAGGTTTTGATCTGCATTTCCAAAAGAGCACCCTTAAAATGAACATATCAAAAAATAATTTGACATTTTCAAATTTGAAACTGATATTAAGCATGACATATGGGCACTGTGTACGTAGGATAGCTGAGATATGAATAGACTGAGATTCATAAAGAATATATCCAATAATTCTGGCTGGGCTCCTCCAAGGAAAAGCTCCTTAAATACCCACTGGAAATACACAATTAGAAACACTGGGATTTGAAGGAAGTGGAAGTTCAGCAGCATTTTGTAAATGCAAGTGCTTTGTAAAGATGGATGGCCCTGGCCTTTTTGGAATTTTTTATGAGCTGTCCAACAAAACTGTCTTGATTAAAGCTAGGGTTGTGCTTCTGCTGCACCTAAAGCTGAGTCTTGAGGCTGCAGTAAGTACACAGACATCACAGTCCTCATTTTAAGTTATTTAATAACATTAAATGCTCTGGGTGTTTCTTTGCATTTGAAATATTTTGTGATGCTGGAAAATTGCACATCTGTGCATTTGTCAGAACCAAGACAGCAAAAGCCCTCAACACAGATTAGTCTTATTTTACCAGTCAAACTGATCAAGATATAAAAAATAATCTCATCAAACAATAAATAACAAGAAAAAGCCTCTTTCTACATGCTCTGGTCATCTACCAGTTGTTAATAAGATCAGTTTATAAGTGAGTTTATGAAGTATAAAGTGAAATCCTGAATTAATGAGGTCTGTCAAACCCTCAGTAAAACCCAACTTGTCTCTGGATTTTATCTTGACTGTTTCCCCTTCAAACACGTGCTCTAGAACAGTTTATCTGGGGGGTTCTGCATTTTGCTTACACCTCTCTGCTAAAAGAATCTCCAAGAGATTGCAGATAACTCCACAATGGCAGGAAGGTGTGGTGGAGCACTTGGAGAGCTCAGACCTAATGACTATTCAGGGTTGATAATGAAGAAAACTTCAATAACCAAAGTACATTTACTTTGTCCAAAAGCAGATCACACCCTGATTTGGATTTAAAAGACCCTTGTTGAAGCATCACATTTATTTCTGATCTCTTGATGTATTATCACCCTTTTTGGAAGCTTTTCCCCCTCATGTAAAGGTTTATTAGAAAATGAACAGGGAGCTCTTAGGCAGGTAATGCTCCTGCTGGCAGCAATAATCTCTTGAGACTGCATTGATCTAGCAAATGTCTTTGTGTGATTCACAGGGACAGATTTTATCCTGCAAGAGAGAAGATGCAGGAGCCAGGGAAATTTCTAAGCCTGCTAATCCCTGAGATGCATTGATAAAGAGGCAGAAATTCCATCTGGGAAAATACAAGGCAATAATGGGCCTCAGTCTGTGCTCAGCAGAGAACAAATGACAAATAGGCTGTGCTGGGCAAGGACATGAAATATTTCCAGGACAAGCTGGAGCTGCAGACTTGAGCCTTCCCAAGGGAGCTGCTCTGAGGAATGGGGCTCTGCCCAAGAGGGACCCTCAGCTGGAGCTTTCCTGTGCCAGGAGGATTCCTGAGGGATCCAGGCTTTCTCCCTAAACTTTGATCCCCCTGGAGCATCTGTGCATTGCAGAAATGTCCCTGTCCTCCTTAGGGACACAGAAGGTGCCAGTGAGGCAGCACATGGAGCTGCAGCCAGGGGCTGCCTGCACCACAGAGGGAATTCAGGAGTTGTTCTTGGGGATTTTTTTTAAGTAAGAAAATCCCACCCATAACTTCAGAGGAAGCCAACAAGCAGAACCCTCATTCTGGAACCAAACAAGCCTTTGCTTTCCCCTGGAGCAAAATTAAACCCTTTAACATTCTCCCACCCTGCAATGGCATTAAACTGGCAATAAATACATTCACTTGCAGTGAGGAAAACCCAGGGTTAAAGCCCTTTGTGTGAATCAAGACCAGGATCTTGAATCCTGTTCTTGTCTGCCCAGAACTGAACACCTTCACCCCCACCAAGTGATTGGCTGTCTGTCTTGGCCAGCCAGGATGTGTTCTGGACACATTTCCCTTCAAGAACTTCATTTTAATGAGCTGCCACTTTCTTGTGGTGGAAAAACATCTTGAAGTATGTCTTGAATATAAAACCCCTTAGACTGATCAAAGCCAGGGCAGTCACATGTGAGCTTCTCCCTAAATTATTTGTTAGGGGAAATGCAGGTCCCTGTTTGTTGTCACACAGCCCTGGGTGTGAGGTGCTAGAGCCAAATCCTCTGCCTGATTTAAAGTTCTCTCCTACCAAGTTATTCCAAAAGCTCTAGTGAGTGTTTCTGGTGTTCTGTGAACCTGCTGGGGAAGGATGCAGTCACCTCTCTTACCTCATGCATCACTTTCTCCTTTTCCACTGGCACCTCATCAAATGTCTTCACGCTCAGGGGTCTCTTCTTGCTGTTGTTTCTGAAAGCAGGAAAGTCAAGGGGTCAGCACAAAACCCAGGCAGATTCTGCACCCATTGCAGCTCAGTTTCCTCCTCACACAGCCCAGTGTCCTGCACCACTTCTCTTTTGTCACCCTTTGTGTCTAATAACCAACACCCTGACAAACCTGTCTGGTTCTTTCACCAGCCATACCAAGGGAGGACACCAGACAGGGAAATGTTTCTTTCCCCCCACCCTGTGTCTGCTTTTCTCACCCAGTTTCTACTGCACTCCAGCGATTCACTCCATTGTTCAGGTTTTCTTCCACAGGGCAGGTTTTGGAGTTGGATTCTCCATCAGGACACAGGGTGATGTTCAGTGGAATGTAGTCTTTGCCATCCTGTGAAATTAAAAACAGAAAAGAGCACAAAGCTGGTAAAGTTCATTTTGTGCTGCTTCTCAGATGTGAGAGGTTGTTGTATCCTATAGAGCTTTGCCTTGAGAAAGGACTAAATTGGGTTTTAACTTAACTGTGATGTTTGTTCAAGGTGATTATCATGTTCCTCACAACCTGTGGAAGTTATGGAAGAGCACAGGACTGAGAGTGTTTCCTGGAGTTATGTAAGCTGGAGGGAGGCAGCACCACCATTTCTGCTTTATACCCATACTTCATCCAAGAATTCCTGTGCAGGAAGCTTTGTGAGGGAACTGGGGCACTCTGGGAACCCTGTGATGTGGGGTGGCTGAACATGGGCTGGGAGATTCCAGCCCAGGTCAGAAGGAATGGCCCATGAACTGCTTGGTTTTGTTCAACTTCTGGAGCTTGGGAAGAGCCAGGCCTTAAAATGGGAGCCTGAAAGGATTGAATTTCTTGTCCTTCCCAGGAATTGCTGCTGCACATGGTAATGAGCTCTGCATTGTCATTACCCCCTGCAGCAATCCTCAGGAATGACTCTGCCTTCAGCTCCTGAAACTATTTGTCCAAATTTCCCTGAGCTTCTTTTTGTTTTTAATTTTGAGAAGCAGTTAAGTGCCCTATTCCCTTATCATGATTTTTATGTCCCCTCAATTTACTTTGGTTATAGAATCAAACTCTCAAGCTCGTCATATTGCAGACTGGGCCCTCTTCAACTCAGCTCCACTAAATTTGTTTACAAACAGGAAGGAGCTGGAGGAGAGTATTTGATTTCTTCTTCAATTAAATTGACAATTGCATAACTGATCTGGTTGTTTTTACTGAAGAAGAAAACAACTGGTTTAACTATTATGAAATTAATCATTATATACCTGATTTTCTGTGCTTTAAGCTGCATAATTGCAAAGCTCCCAAGAGCACTGGTGAACGTAAACTTGGAAATGAGAGACAAAGTTCAGGAAGTGAAGAAAATCAGAAATAAAGTTAACATTTGAGTAGTTAACATTGTCTTTACTCATCCCAGCAGGGATTTTCCTAGTGAGTTGTGCTAGGAGGTGAAATCTCATAGTGGTGTTGAATAACCCTGCCCATGCACACCCCAAGTGCAGATTCCTTGCAGAGGGGTGGCCCTGCAGTACCTGCTGCACGTTGGCCTGCAGGAGATCCCCCAGGCGCTCCACCAGCTCGGTGAACGTCGGCCTCTCGGTGGGCACCCCGTGCCAGCAGTCCAGCATGGTCTGGTAGCTGCAGGAAAACACAGGGGTTAGGAATGGGAAAGAATGAGAGCTTTGCTTCCAAACTCTTCCATTCCACTGCTGCTTGGTTTGGTGGGTCTTTGGATTGAGAGAGGTTCAGCTCTCCCCATGCTGAAATTCGGGTTTAGTTTCCATGTGGGATGCTTTTTGCTTCCATATTCCTGAGCCTGCAGGATTTTGGTTTTCACCTAACTTAGACTCTGGCTGCTGGGCCCTGCTGATACTGCTGAACTAACTCCTGGTTATAGGTACTGGGTTTCTGTCACAGAATCTGAAGTCTGAGCTCCATGAACTACATGAGTAGTGTAGTACACATGAGTAGCTCCATGTAGTACCACATGAGTAGCTCCATGAACTACAGCTGACAAGGGATATCTGGTCATCTTGTTGGCAAAGGTCAGGCTGACTTGGGCTGTCCTTAGCATTAATCTGTGCTGTCAGACACCCGAAATATACTCAAGCACATCTTTACTGAACATAAAATACCCAGCTGTGGTCTCCTCCCCCTCCCCACAATCTCTTTGGTGAGGTGTACAGCTCCCAGCAGCTCCCAGCAGCTCCCAGCAGCTCTTACACTTCAGGGGTGGAATACTCTGGAGATCTCATCCGGGTCCCCTCCTTGAGGCGCCGGCAGAAATCCTCATCTATCTGCACCCCAGGGTAAGGAGAGGCACCTGGGGGGAGAAAGGTCAGGGCTTCAGGATGGCACAGTCTGTGTCCCAGACCTGGGGATCTCTGCTGAGCATTGGATGTCACCCAGAGCCTGGCAGTAACACGAACTCGAGTGAAGAAGGAGTTGCAGTCACTCACAATCTGCATTTTTTGTTTGGAAACCTCACAGACTCACTCTGTCCCTTCAGAGATTTCAATCACACTGTCTCCTCTGCTTTTGTGATACCACTCCAAGGTAAAATAGGGCAGAGGAGAAATAAACTTGATTAGTTTGAGACTAAAGTATCTCTTGGTCAGTGGTAGAAAAGTTCCAGCTCATTTAATGGATTCCTTGGTGCTTTCCAAGCTGTTACCCTGGCAATATCCTGCCCTGAGAGGATACACACACAGTGAGCAATTCCTGCTCATCCTTCATGGCCTCAGAGCCCCTGTGAGCAGGTGCAGAGGGGCTGTGGGCACCTGGCCCCTGCCAAGGACCACGAGAACCTTGGTTCAATCCCATGAGTGGAGTTGCTCCTCTCCTGGTTCACCAGCTACTGGAGATGCATTATCCTCCAGGGAAGGCTCCCCTGACAGTGACCTTCCACCCTTCCAGCCTTGTTGTCTTTCCTGACTCTGTTCACTGCTGTTTACCTTGAGTGCCACTCAAGTGTTGGCTGAACCCTGGCAGGACAGCTTGTGGCAACTGGAATTGTTTTGTGGAGGTTGAAAGCTGTGAAGGAGCTTTGTGTTAACTCCCACAAAACTCTGGGAGAGTGCTCAGGCATCTGAGCTCACAGGTAAAATTCAGAAGTCTAAGCTGAGATTTAAAATGCTACTGAACCTGCAGTGGATAAAATGAAAAGATTTGTAACTTCCCTCCCTTTCTCCCCCCTAAGCCAATGCTTCCTGTGCAGCACAACCCTTGCTTGGACATTTTGGCATCCCAGAGGCTGGATGATGAATTTGGAAACAATTTCATCAAGTCTTAACATGGGAGACTGAATGGAATCTGTATCCAGCCCTGGAGGAATCTGTGTATGATTTACTGGCTATAACATTCCTGCATATTTCCTGCAAACACCATCATGTGCTGTGCACTTGGGGGCACAACGAGAATAGCAGAAATCTTTGGGATAAAGCACTGAAGAAGGGGCCAAAATGTGGCTGCTCCAGAATTGTTCTCCTCTGTGAACCTGACTGCTCAGTGGGCAGAGCCTGCACTGGGGAGCTGAGAGCCCAGCACTGCCTGAGGAGGAATCTCAGCTTAAATGGGCTCCCAGGACATCCAGGGATGCTTATCCACAGCACTTCTGAATTCCCTGGATGTGCAAGTACCAGGGCAGAGGACTGACAGTGTTTCCTGGAGTTATGTAAGCTGGAGAGAGGCAGCACCACCATTTCTGCTTTATACCCAGATTTTCCTTCCCAGTCTTGCCTTTGGCCTGTCATGCTCAGAATAACCTGGGAATTATCTGCTCATCTCATGGATGGAAAATTCCAGGAATTAACTGCTTATCTCATGGATAGAGAATCCCACTTGCTCCCACAATCTGAGCTCTCTCTCTTTGGTTTCATCACAGATCAGATCAACTGCAAGATGTTGGTGAGAGCAAATACAGGGAAGGCAAAGGATAACGGTGATAGGACAAGGAGTACTGGGACAAACTGAAAGGAGGGACATTTAGGTTAAATATTAGGATGAAATATTTTACTGAGGGGTGGTGATGCCCAGGGGGGTTGTGGATGCCCCAGCCCTGGCAGTGTTCCAAACCAGGTTGGATAAAGCCTTGAGCATCCTGGTTTAGCAGGAAGTGTCCTGACCATGGCAGGAGGGGTTGGGAATAGATCATCTTATAGATCCTTTCCAACCCCTATGAGTCTATGATTAATTTTTGACTGCAGGATCTTTTAATAATTTATATTTTGGCCAGTGCTGGCCTCCTACCAGCTGGAGGCAGCTCAGATCATAAAAGCAAGGAACTCTCCCTTTCCCACTTCCACTCAGCACTGTCTTTATCTGGACTATGGGATCAGTCTGATAACTTGGATTTGGAATGCTGAGACAGCTTGGGAGAAATGTAGGCTGGAACATATGGTGTAAGGCCTACACATGATGTTTTCCTTAGGGGAAATCTCCTTCAAAATGCTCAAAGATGTGGCATGCATTGGATATGGGAGCCCTCTTTTGATCTTGGTTTTATTTTAGTGGGATAATGAGATGCTGATGTTACTACCAGGCACTGCTTGTTTACATAATTATCTCTGATTGCTTTTAGAACAGTGCACATTGAAATTCCAGGAGACACTGACATTCTGTACCATTAGTGATTTCAGGATGTGTTAAACACTTCTGGCACCACCTGACACGAGGTGTGTTGACCCCATTGGAATAATTTAAAGCTCATTGCAAACTCAGCCCCAGATGGAAATTAATATTCCCTCAAGTCCTGATTTCCCTGTGTATCACCAAAGCAGATGCAGCCTTTCTGCAGGCAGGCTATTCTCCTTCACAACACAAACTACACTCTGCATTTTCCCAATTTTCCCTTTTTTAGAGGGTGCTCAGCCTGTGGGACCCAGTGAGAGCAGCAGCTGTAAATGGGAGCCAAAACACACCCTGTGGCAACGACAAATAACTTCCATCTCATGGCTCTCAATGATCTGTAAAACTTTTATATGACAGAATTCAATCAGTGACACAAATCCTTAATTAAATATTTATCATTTGAGCTGCAGATGTGAGCAGTGCCAAACCACAGGCATGCCTGGATGAGCTGGATGAAAAACCCTCTCAGAGAAAATGACTGGTTTTGAGCCTGTGCCACCAAGTGCAAAAGCAGTTTGTGATCTACGTCACAGGCAGGGCAGGGGCTGCTGCACGGGTGGCAGCCCCTGGAGCCATCTGGGAGGTGCCAAATTCACAAGGGGACAGTGCCAAGAAAGGGGCTAAAAGAACCCAGATAACAAGTTTTTTTTTTTTAAATAGATTAAAATAGAGGTGAATTTCACTGACTGGATTTTAATTTATATTAGTGTTCAGTATTAAAGGCCATCTGTTAAATTCTGTCAGGACCTTTGGGGGTGATACAAAGTTTGTTCCTGCAGTGCCCCTTGGATTCATCAGCATTCCATCCCTTTGGTTCCCAGTGGAGAGCCTGTCCCTGAGTGTCTGTGGATGCTGATGCTAAAGCATCTTCCTGAATAATCTGATAAAACCAGGGCACTCCTGGTGCTTCTGGAGCTTTGCCTTTCTGCTGCTACACCTGCAGTAGGTGATGCTGTTACCCCAACATAACAACACCCAAAAACCAGGGCTGAGCCCCAGGGAAAGCAGCAGCTGCCACTTATTTCAACCACTCAAGTGTGAACTTTCTGCTGGGTGTGCAGATGTGGAGCAGGGAAAGTCCAAATCAAAGACTTGGACTGAGAGCAGGTTATGATTTTGCAGCCAGCCCTAAGTAAAGATTAGGATAGAAACAGCTCCAGACTTTGCATTTTCACTTGGCATCTTGAGCCCAATCATTAATTTCAACTGATCCATGAACCAAAGATAGAAGCAGATTAGAGTTTGCTTTAAAATCCAGCAGCTTAAGTTGACAATGCTTCTTGTTTTCTTTTGTCTGCAAATGCTGATTAAAAAGCCAGAGCTGACATTCCTAAATTCCCTCAGGAAAACAAATGTTGCCCCTCTGCAAGGAGAATCTGAGAGCAGCACAGTCCAAGTATCTGTAGGGCTGCTTGTGTTGGTCTCACAGCTTTATCTGCTGGACAGAAACCAGAGCTCAGAGAGGCTGAGATTTCTCACAGCATCCTGGGATGACATCTCAGCTACATAAAGAACATCATTGTTATTCTTTTAGAACTGTTGTGGCTTGCAAATAATGCAGCCACAAGAGCCCACATTCCACCCTTGGTCTGCTGCCAAAAGGGTTTAGGCTGAGCCCAGCACTGCTCCTGCACCAACCAACAGCTGCTGCTGCCAGGAGATTTTTCTTACCTAGAAAATCTTAGATTTTGTGGGGTGGATGATCAAGCTGGGATAAAATATCATGTGGGCTCATGCTGCATGGGCTGAGCCACGGTGCCCACAGCAGGGTGACCCTGCAGCTCTGGGGTTCCCTGAAGCAGGTGGGGTTTGATGGGAAGCTTCTTCATTGTTCTCCAAGAAACCTCCCACTCCTCCCAGCAGCAGAGGATTGCATTTTATCTCTGGGCTCTGTTGCTTTCAGTGGGTACAAATGTTAGGTCCAGGATTTTGGATTTTTGATCCCCCTCCCCAGTGTTTTCATGTCCTTTGTCAGGTGGAGTTCTCATTGAAATTGGCTTTATTTTACACCTGGTTTGCACTGTGCACTCATCCTCAGTGAAACAGAAGCACTGCCCCACATGATCACCTTTTGCTAAAAGCTTTTCTTAGCTAAGCAGCCATAAATTGGGGGGGGGGGGGGGGGGGGGGGGGAAAGGGTTTGAAACCATTCTTACCTAGAGAAAATATTTCCCACAGCAGCACTCCGAAAGACCACACGTCGCTCTGCGTGGTGTAAATTTTGTCAAAAATAGCTTCTGGAGCCATCCACTTGAGGGGAAGCCGTGCCTAAAAGCCAGAGACACAACAGGTTACCAGATCTGCTGTTACTGATGTGCCCAAGCCCAGCTTGAGGGGAACCACTGAAGCTTCTTGCACTCACATCTCCCTTCCGTACGTAGTCGGGGTCTTTGTAGATGTCCCTGGCGAGGCCGAAGTCGCAGATCTTGACCACGTTGTTCTCGGACAGGAGGATGTTCCTGGCTGCCAGATCCCGATGGATGCACTGCCAGGGAGGGACACAGGGTCACAGGGGGCTGGGCAGGAGCCCCTGCTCCAGCTGGAGGCAGGAGAGATTCTTTGGGAAGGGGAAAGAAACTGCGCTGGGAGCAGCTCAGAGAATGAGTGGGAATCTGCTCCAGATACACTGGGATATGCAAAAAGGGGAATAACTCAGGGAACAAACCAACACTAGAGACAGTTTTCTGATTGTTCTGTCTGAAATAACTTGGCAGTTACAACAAGGAAGGGAGCCCTATTTTCTCATTATCTGGGAAATTTCAGAGAGGCCAAAAGCAGCTGCAGCTACATTTGCCAGTGCAGGTCCAGGAGGGTGTGAGGGGGATAACCACACTCAGGGTTTCTGGGGGATGCCCTGGTGTGGGAAATGGATTTGTAAAGAATTCTCAAAACCTGACAGAAAGCTCACACAGTGTCACAGATATCTTTTATGAAAAATCCTTTCCTTAGGATTTTTCCTCCTGAGAAGCTGGGAGGCCTCAGGAACAAAATGCAAACAATGATTATCTGCTGCTGTGGAATGCAACAGGTGCATCTGTGATTGGCTCATGTGGTTGTTTGTAATTAATGGCCAATCACAGTCAGCTGGCTCGGACAGAGAGTCCGAGATAGAGCCTTTGTTATCATTCTTTGTGATTCTATTCATAGTCAGCCTTCCGATGAAATCCTTTCTTCTACTCTTTTAGTATAGTTTTAATGTAATATATATCATAAAATAATAAATCAGCCTTCTGAAACATGGAGTCAGATCCTCATCTCTTCCCTCAACCTGAGACCCCTGTGAACACGGTCACAACACAGTCTTGTACATCTGTATGCAAACTCTGAGATAAGGTGTGCTAACTTAGGAAAGCCATAGAATAGAGATAACATTGAGACAGAGATTGAACTAGAAACAAGTTTCAACAAGTTTCAAAAGATGGCCTTGCAAAAAGATCAGATAGTTTAGAGAATTAGAACTGTGAAAGATGCATTGTAGCAGGACCACATGGGGTAAAAATATAGGTGATTTGTGTTAGGAGTAATAGCAGCTTTGTGTGGCAAAAGCTAATGGGCTGAAAAACATTTCTAAGGTGTTGTAACCAGGAAATAGGGTGGCTTCTGATGGAATGGCATTGAGTTTTACATCTCTTGTGTCTCAGTATTCATTGAGACTGATAATGGAATAAATCCTTTTAAAATGCCTCTCAGTTGCCCCATCTCTGTAAAAGCTGGGAAAACCAACACCCTGGTGGCTGTGTGTGAGTGAGGCTCAGTTGTGTGCACACTTTGGCCCCTGGATTACACTGAATTTACCTGAAAAGCTCTTCCACAGGCTGCAAAGAGCCTCCTGTTTACCCAAGCAGTGCTGACTTTGCTGACAGTCCCCAACACCTCTGACAAACCAAAGGAATAACTGGATACTCCCTCCTCATTTTTCAGTAGTGGTGTTGTTCGCCACACTAAAAGGAGCTTTCTCTACAAGCTTTTCTGTGTTTATTTATGAGGCAGTTCCACAAATTGTCTCACAGTTTCTGAGAACTTCACTCCTTCTATCTAAACCCTTCTGCTGCAGATGCCAATCCCTGCAGCCAAGAACATGATGAATGTTCTTCCACAACCCCTTCAGTGCTAATTACTGCTTAACCACCAGAGCTAATGTGATCTCCAGCACTCTAACAAGAGCAAAAAGCAGATTTCTCAGAGTCAAGAGTGTGTTTGGGTTCCTTCATATCAGATACTCTGCAGGAAGTCTGAAGGAGCTCACTTTTCGGGAGGCGAGGAACTCCATGCCTTTTGCCACCTGGAAGCTGTAGCAGATCAGATCCTCCAGAGTCAAGGGCCTCTTGTACAGATCCTCAGCATCTAGGAGAGATCAGAAACGTGGCAAAAACGTGGCACAAATGCGGCAGAGACGTGGCACAGCTCCAGAGCTGGGTGCCACTGGTGCCACTTGTGCTGATGGCCCCAGCCCCACACACTGTGCTGGGTGTGGGATCTCTGCAGGGTTACAGCTCTGGGGGATCAACCACTGACCCAGAGGCAGGAGATCAGAGATTAACAAAGTTCCCTCATCCATTAGTCACTCATTTAACTATGGGGAAACAACACCTCAGGCTGGAGTGAGGGAAACTTTATAGACAAGGGCCCTGGGACAGAGTGACCTCACAAGTCTGGTACAACATTCCTGTTTCTCCTCTCATACCACAGGAGCAGCTTTTGTACACAATACAGAGCTCTCTTTTTGTGAGAGAGTTGGAGTGAGGAACAGGCAAGAGGGAGAATTTGGGATTTCAGGAACAAGCCAAGCCATGTAAGGGCCTGTAAAGTGTGTGACAGTGTGTGTGGCACTAGCCAAGTGACAGAAGTCTTCCCAATAAAAGATTTTGGATGTGGTAGGGTTCTTTTACCTTCTTCATCATCTTCTGAGTCACTGTAACTCTTATCTTCGATGAATCCTGAGCTGGCAGAGCTGCCTGTGCTGGCCACACTCTCGAGGCGCCTCTTGATCAGTTCAGTCAAGTCACTGTTGGACTCATCCAGACTCTTCTCTGCTTGGTCAGAGTTTTCCTGGGACTAGAAGTGGCATAAACCCAATTTTAACTCTGTTTGATGCAATGCTTGAGCATTCAAAATATGTGACAATGTTATAAGGAGAAAGGGTCCTCTGAAGATGAGCATGTCTGAACATTATATTTCCTGAAGTGGGAATAAATGGGAAACCAGGCTTTATTAGTTCTAACTATAAATTATAAAGCCTGGTTTCCTATTTATTATTGCCCTTTCACTGATAGCATTTTCCACATCAGAGTTAGCTGAAAGCTGGCTGGGTGAGACTGAGAGGTGAGCAGAGAGAGGCTGTAAATTCTCTTGCTGTCTCAGGATGCTAAAAATCCCCTCAAGGTGGGTGCATGATGGGCACTGTGCTGGGGAGTGAGGCACAGCCAGCCCTCAACTCATGGCAACAATGGTGAGAAAGAAATTCTGAGGGAGTGCACCAGGAAAAGCTCCTTCACTCACACAAAGTCCCTCACGTACTTTGCTGCCTGCACACAATAGCTTTAACAACAACAATAATAATAATAATAATAATAATGCAGTCATCTGGGAAAGCAGTCCTGGTGAGGCTGCAGTTCTGGCAGGGCTGGGGTCACAGAGCCTGTTCCACACTGGATATTCACAAGGAGGAGTCAGTCCCATCCCTCCCAGCCCTGATTTCTGCCCTGCTCCCATCCCAGCCCAGTCTGTGCTGGCACAGATGTTGTGTGCATGCAGAGCTGTCTGGGAACCAAACCCTTGGCTGGTTTTGATGTAGGAATATCCATGATCCAGGCTGTTGTTACAGCACAGACTTCAGGGCTGGCACAGGGAAGGGACAGAGGATGGAATGAGCAGATGGGGAAGGATGAACTGCTTTCACCTGGGGCCTAGAAACAAAAATCCCCAAAACAGATTTGTGTTTTGGGAGGGTTCACTTTCTCCTAGTTCACTTAATGCCAGTTTTTCACTGCTATTTTGTTGTCCCCCTTGTGCTGGGAAGGATCTCCCAAGTAATTCCCTCTCTTTCAAGGTCTCAGGAGTGTTTGGGTACTTGCAGCTCATTCTTTAGGAGATGCTAGGAGAGGAGAGCAGTGAGATCCTGCAGGGAAAATACATCCCTCTTCTTGCTTGTACAAATTGAAATGTGGAGAGAAATAAAGTGCCCATAGAAATACCCAAATGCCTTGGTGCCAGTGCAGAGAAAACCCAGCTTTTGTCAGTGGTTGTTGATTCCCTGCCTTGTGACAGAAAAAGTCTCATTTTCTTACCTTGTATGCAATGAAATCCCCTCTTTTCCCTCTGAGATAGTTGGACAGATTTCCATATTTGCAATATTCCACTATGACCATTAAAGGACCTAAAAAAGACAGTGAAAGTCAAATGAGTTTTGAAGCACTGCAAAGCACATAATTCTAATTTATCCTACCAAATCCTCTTCAAAATAAATGGCATTTCTGTTATACAGATGAGGAAATGAGGAAACACAGGACTGACACAACCAGTAGGGATGTGGAGAGAAGGGAACACATTGTTAGTTTTCCCCACTGGATGGTAACAGTTGGTATTTATTCCTAATTTATAAACAAGGAAGATTCAGGATGATCAACACAATCCCAGAGGCTGTTAAGGTTGGTTTGCTCTGCACATGGAGCAGTTTTCATTTTCTCTGGCTTCACAATTGTTTGTTTTGGGTGGAGCTGATGCCACCAGAGGAAATCAAAGTATGCAGGGCCATAGACAAAGCCTGGAAAACCAGAAAAAGTTTCTGAAAAAACTGAAGTTTCTGAAAGCCTGAAAGCCTTTTTCTGAAACCTGGGAAGTACTCTCACTTTCTTCTTATTCCTCTACAAACCACTGTAGAGTCAGTGCTGCTTTTACACAGTTATGCAGGTTTTTAAGAGCTGCTCAAAATGCTTTTATATTGCAGTGTGAGATGTTAGGGAAGGGAAAAGCTGCATTCTGGACCTTTATATCATCAAATGTGAGACAGGGTGAATCCATGGGACTGGGATGTGGATAAACATGGAATATTATCAACCCCAAACACTGAGACTTTCATCTCCAGAACCTTTTTCTCTGGAGAAGGTCCCTGGTTCAGACTGAGGGGTTTGCACTTCAAAGGGGAAGTGTGAGAGCTGCACTTGGCCTTGGGGAAGGAGCTCAGCAGGGTTCCTGCTGGAATTCCTGCAGGAGCAGGGCAGGGGCAGGGCAGGGGCAGGGCTGCAGTCACTCCAGGCCCAACATTGCCAGGGAGGGCACCAGGAGGGAGCAGTGACCCTGGGATAGTGTGGGACAGGCAGAGCAGCCTTTGGGAGATGCTGAATTCCTGCTGATGCCTTGTGCAGGCTGCCCTTGAACAGAGGCTGGACAGAGCTAGAGAATAAAGCAGGGATTTATTTGGAGGCCTCAATGGATGCACCTTGGGCAGCACAAGAGCCCAGCCAGGGCTGCACCCAAGATGAACCAAAATGGTCACAAAATGGTCACGGGGTCTCTCACTTTGATCAGTTCTGCTCCATTTGCGTCTTGCAGTTCATGGTCTAATTACAGCTCCAGCCCATGCAGTCCCATCCTGCTTGTTTTTCTCTCTCAGCCCATGGTGTTTGTGCTCTTGGGGCTGAGATTTGGATCATTTGTCCTTGGTGCCCAGCTGGAGCAGGAATTGTTTTGCCTCCCTACTCTGTGTTCACCATCCCCTAACATGAAGCCCAGACCCACACCCTAAAGCAGCACAGAATGTGAAAAATCGAAAAGCTAAACCTGAGGTATCACTGCAGGCAGAACCAAGCCCCTGGTGTTCCCTGTGGATTCCTGCAGGTTCTGCACTCACCCAGCCCTGGGACACCTTGAGTGCACACCCTGGGGCTCTCCAGGACCCCCAGTCCCTCTGCTGCAGCTGAAAGAAGCCTGAAAACCTTCACTGGCTGCAAAAACACCAGATCCCCAAATCCCAGTGGTTCCAGTGCTGACCCCAGAGCTCTGCTCAGTGCTGGCATCTGGCCCTGCTCAAGAGATTTGGCTCAGAAGAACCCAAAATCCAATGTCCCTCATGGATGCCCTGAGGAAATGCAGATTCCAGAACAACTTTAAAGGTCTGCTTAGTGATTTATTCATGGCTTTGAAACGCTTCCTAGACATGGCCTCCCCATATTTTGTTCCCTCATTTTAAAGCACACACTGCATTAGTTCTGACTGCTGAACATCAGACACCCCGGCAAAGTGTTAAATTCTGTTATTTGATACCTTGTTAAAATAATGTATGTGCATACTTAATAGCAGCCTCCATCAGGAATACACGGTTACATAAAGCCTAACAGGGGAGGGAGAGCACTGGAATTTCACAGGAGCTGGGATCTGTGTCTGCCTCTGGAGCTGCAGGCTGTTTTTCTTTAGTCTGCACTTGCAGTGCTCAGAGGAGAACAAAGCAGAGCCTGCCTGAGGCTGCTCCGTGCCCTGTGGGTCCTGCTGCACCCTCTGCCCCCAAAGGTTTGCCCAGACAGCTGGCAGGGAGAAGGGAGAGTCATCTCCCACCCAGGACGGGGCAGGATGGAGAATAGGAAATGGAGGAACTCCTGGGAGAGAAAGTTTCTCAGAAATGGGACAGTCAGAGCCTCTGATAGTCCTGAGCTGTGTCTTGAACAAGCAGAACTCTGGGGCTGCTTTGGGTAAGAACCACTGAGCCCTGGTCCTGCTGCTGGTTTGAGACTCTGCTTGGGGTCTTCCTGGGGGTCCTGAGCCCCCTCAGGGAGTTGTGAGCCCAGGAGAGTCCCCAGCACGGCCACGTCCCAGCCCCTCTGCTCTCAGGCCCCAGCAAAGGCTCCTGGCTGCTGTATCTGACCCTAAATCCCTCAGCTGGAGCCCCTTGCTCCCACACAAGTTTTTGGGCTCTGCAGTGAATTCCTGGGAGCAGCAGACCCCAGCAGTGTCCATGGCTGCTGGCTGCTCTTTCCTGAGGAACTGGAACCACCTTGGTAGAGGAAAGATTTCTTCCCTGGCACCCTCCCAAATCTCCCTCACTGAAATTTTCCTTTTCCCCAGTGACTGGACAACAGCTGTTGGAAACTGGTGAATTTAGGGTCTCAGATGATGAGAGATCTATGCACCATCTCTCCTGATTTCCCCCTTCATTTCTTTCACCCTAGGGCTTCCCTTGCCCTTGGGTCACCTAAACCTGATTTTTGGGGGAGGTTTTGCAGATTTTGGGGGTCAGCAGTGAGGAGCCATCCTCAGGAGCTGCTCCCCTGAAGCTGAAGCACAGGAAGAGGCAGGGCTGCTTTGTGTGGCACTGTGGGAAGGGATGTTTTAGTGACAAAGGTCTGACATTTATGGGACTTTGTATGATGCAGGGCCAGTCCTGCTCAGCCCCATGCAAGTCCCTGCTCCTGGTGCACCCAGAGCTGTCCCAGGCTTTGTACACAGAGCAGAAACTGCTGTGTTTGCCTGGAGAGGGTGAAATGCTGGCAAAGAGAGCACCCAGGGCTGTCCCAGGCTTTGGCTGTGTTTGCCTGGAGAGGGTGAAATGCTGGCAAAGAGAGCACCCAGGGCTGTCCCAGGCTTTGGCTGTGTTTGCCTGGAGAGGAGGCTCAGGGAGCCAAGGGCTCAGCCTGGTGCATCCTCCTGACAAGGCAGGGAAGGAGAGGGAGAAGCAGCCTGGAAATGCCCACAGGGAGCACTTGGGCACCTCAATGCAATGCAGTGTTCTCCCCTCAGTGCCTCCAGAGAGAACAGAGGTGACACCAGGGATGGGAGAGGCTCAGGAGCCCTGGGGGGATGAGGCCCCATCCTGCAGGAGCAGCAGAGCTCTGCTGTGAGCAGAGAGCTGGGAATGGCTGCACTGGCACTGACTGCACCACAGGCACTTCCAAACACCCCAAAGACTCTGAAAATGTTTTCTTTTTTGCTCCCAATTTCCTGAGGACTCCTCACCTCCAGCTTTGGTGCAGGCTCCCAGCAGGTTGACCACATTCAGGTGATGTCCTATATGGATGAGGATCTTCAGCTCAGACATTAGAGCCTTGCATTCATTAGTAGTTGCACATTCTGCTTAGGATAAACAGGAAGAAAATCATCTTTACACAACAGGATATTTTCAACAGGACACAGCAAGATCCTGTTTATCCTTTGAAACAAAACCCACCCAGGTTCCTTGCAGTATCTTGGCCTTTCAGACTCACACAGATAATAATTCATCTGTTTCATTGTCTGCTGACCTTTATGAAGTGGGATAGCACTTTATCTTTTGGTGACTCTTCCTTTCTCCACTGTGGGTTATGGAGGGTTATGGTTCCTTCCCCCAGAGCTGATCCCACAGAGCCTTTGCCAGACTCAGATTTGCAAGCTTAGCAAAGCCAACCCTGCAAGCCCCCCCAGCACACAGAGGGTGTCCCTTCCTCTCTGCTGGGCTGTGCAGCTCAACAGGACTCAGCTACAACGCCTCAGAATGCTCCAGTGCAGGGCAGGAGGAATCCAGATCTGGGAGCTGTGTCCCAGAATGTCCAGGGAACACACAGCAGGACTGAAGCTCAGGCCTGTAAGATCTTATTGACCCAAGAAATTAATTTTGTAAGATCTGTGTGTGAGCCATGAACATGACAGGGCCCTGGCTGGCCAGTGACATTATTTTAAGGCAGGCACCCTCAGACCAGAAGTTTGTTCAGGTGCTGCTTTATCTTCCCAGCCTTGTCTCCAAAACCTCCATGATGTATTTTAACAGGAGAGGCTTTGGCCTGTTTCCTTTGCCTTTGCATCATGTAAGATTTAAAAATGAAGAAGCAGTTACATAACAAATCATTTGGTGTGACAGGTGTAACCTCTTTATCTGTCTGTAGAATTCCCCATCTTCTTTCTCCAAACTGTGCCATAAAGAAGGAGCTATTCCAAGATTCCTTCAGCCAGCAGTGTTTGCTGGGTCCATGGGTGGTATCACTCCTGATTTCCCCTGGCATGTGCTGGAACTCACAGCCAGCTCAGAAGTGTTTCAGATAATTCTGCACATTGAATTTTAGCTTCAATCCAGAACAGAGCTGAGCATCCTGCATGGAGATGGCAGAAATGCAGGCATCCCCAGAGCCTTTTAAATTCCCTGGATGGATGAACTGACACTGGAAAATCTGCTTTATTCATGAAAGTGATGAATTATGGGCATGTTAGCTGGGGAGGGGCACACCAGAGCAGGAGGGAGCTGCCTCCACAGGGGAGGGAGGTGTAAAACGAGGGAGAATCTGCCAAATATTGCTGAATATGTGCTGGCAGGGCAGAGCTGACATGAGGATCAGCTGGGAAGCACAGCATGGAAGGCAATGAAACCCCAGAGCTGTCCAGGGCAGTATGTTTTGATGGAGATGGGAATATGTCTGGATCAGGGACTTCTAGGGGATGTCAGGGATCTGGAAATGGGCATGGAACAGAAGATACAACAGCAGGAGAGAAGATGATTGGAAGGAGGAAAACAGAGAGGGGAGACCAGAAGGAGGTCCAGAGAGGTGACAAATGGGTGTTTTTGTGATTTCAGAGAGATGAGCACCAGGTGAGGCAGCTGGCAGCAGAAGCCAAGTCCCATGGCAGCAGTGACGGGCTGGTGGCATGGCAGGGGTTAATGGTGGCATGCAGAGCCTGAGGGCCATGGCAGCATGGACTGAGCCTTTGGCATCCCCCTGAGGAGCAGCCCCAAGCCCTGTGGATGATCCTCCCTGGGTGCAAGAACAGGCTCCAGGTTCCCTCCTTCCCTCCACCCAACAGCAAAGCTGCCCTTCATTTCAATAATTGCAAGCAAGATGTCTCTAATTCACTCCCCTGGCACTGTTTTTTTCCAGCCCCTTGAACTGTTCTGCATCTGGCTGGGCTGGGATGGAAGGCTCAGCTCCAATTTCGGGCTATCTGGTGTAATTACACTCTGTAATCTGTTTGCCTCCTCACCCCACAGAGCTGGAAGCTGCTCTTTTCTCCTTGAGGAATGCAAGCCTCAGTCAGCACGGAGCTGCTGTCATCCTCCCCTTCATCCATCCCCCCAGGAGGGCTGATCCCACATGGAAACCCATCCCTGCAGGGCACAGCCAGCTGGGCACTGTGCCCCTGGCTGCCCCCAGCCCCCTGAGCAGCCTGGGGAGGATCTCAGAGGGATTTTTGTACCTTTCAGCATTTTTACGGCAACTGTTTTGCAGGTTGAAGATTTATCAATGCCAAAAGCAGACGCCTCCACCACCTTCCCAAAAGCACCATGACCCAGAGTTTTACCTAGAGAAGCAAGAGTTGAGAGTGAGCCCAGCTGCACCAGGCAGGAGGGGACATGCAACCTCAGCTGTGCAGAGAACCAGGCACAGGGCACAGACACAGGCACAGCAGCCTCCATCACATCCTGCAGCATATGGATACACAAGGGGGTTATCCATATGGCCTGGATGCAATCCAGCACGGGAGACAGCAGAGAGGGGAATCACTGCACTCACTGAGGGCAGGGCTGACACCTGCATGGATTGAGGGGACAAACATCACCTGGGGCTGGCCTGGAGACCAGGGAAGGCAGGGTTTGGGTTAATTGTGGCACCCTGATCTCTCATGGATCATGGAGAGAGCCAGCAAGGCACTCAGGGAGCCACAGCCCCTGAACCCTTCAGTTATTGACATTGATTTGAGGGAAAAGCTGCACTAAATGGGATTCAGGATGGTTTTCTTTCTTCTTTTTGTTTATTTTCCCTTTCATTTGGATTTTCCTGCCTGTGTTATCTGCTGTGCTCTGAGGGCTCTGACCCAGGGTCTGGCTGTTTGGTTCTGCCACTTTCTGTGTCCCACCATCATCTCAGATTTTGGGATTTTTTTGTGTCCTCTCTTCCTTCCATGTTTTCCAGCTGCAGCACCAGGAGCACACAAATACAGATATTTTCCCTGCACTCCTCAGTGCACACAGATGTTACTGTTTCACTGTACAAACACAGCCAGCTTTTTGCATTTCTCACTCCATCAGCCAGTGAACTGAGCTGTTCAGTGAAATGTGGCTCATTTTTCCATGAGAGCTTTTTACAGCTCAAAGCTGAGCTCTGATGGTTGATAAGGAAGTGATTATTTGATGAATTGATAGCTTTCTTCTAAAGAAAACTCACTTTCCTTTTTCCTCTATGGGAATGAAATCACACTTTTGGCAGGGACAGTACCTGGAGGTACTGTCAAGAGTTTGGCTTCCCTTTTCCAAGGAAAAGAAGTGGCAGCTATTTGGACAGAGTCTCCAGATCCCTCATTTCACCCTCCATTCAGGCTGACCCTGCACTCTGTGATCCCAGATCCAAGGGTGGCACTGTGACAGGTTCCTGCTGGGTTATCCAACAGCTCCAGTGCCCCTGGGATGGATCTGGGATCATCCTTAACAGCTCCAGTCCCCTGGGAAGCGTTTGGGATAATCCTTCCACAGCTCCAGTGCCCTGGAATGGATCTGGGATCATCCTTAACAGCTCCAGTGCCCCTGGGAAGGATCTGGGATCATCCTTAAGAGCTCCAGTGCCCCTGGGATGGATCTGGGATCATCCTTTAACAGCTCCAGTGCCCTGGAATGGATCTGGGATAATCCTTAACAGTTCCAGTGTCCCTGGGAATCATGTGGGATCATCCTTAACAACTCCAGTGCCCCTGGGAATCATTTAGGATCATCCTTAACAGCTCCAGTGTCCCTGAGAATCATTTGGGATCATCCTTAATAGTTCCAGTGCCCCTGGGAAGGATCTGGGATCATCCTTAACAGCTCCAGTGCCCCATGGAAGGATTTGGGATCATTTGGGATGATCCTTCCCCCCGTGTGCCCCCAGCACTCACCCAGGCGCAGCCTGTCCCTGGGGAACTCCCATTTGCTGCTGTCGTAGGGCAGGCGCTCACACTGCTCGTCCAGGGGCATCTCCTCGGGGTCCATGATAATTGACAGGTATCCTGTTTTAATGTCTGTGGCATCGGGCTAAAAACAGGGCGGGGAGAGATTATTCAGGGGATTAACTGCAGTTCCGAAGGGAGGGAGCTGTCTGGCAGCCCGGGGACTTCCCTGCCTTGCAGGCACTTCAATTCCGAGCCAGGAATGCATCACTGCAGCTTCCTGCTTCTGTTCCGCAGCTGAGACACAAATGTTTGTGTGGGGCTGCCACTGTGGCTCTTGGGAGGAGGCACTGATTGATGCTGGGAAACACAAAATCTACCTGGATCAGTCACAGGAAATCACTGATTTTCCATGGGAACTGCAGGAGCTGCACTTCCTCCTGCATATTTTGGCATTGTCACCGTGTTTGGTTCTGCAGTGCTGATTCTCCACAGTTCTCCACTTCATAGCTGCAATTTATTGCAATTTAAAATTGCTGGAAATTGCTATTTCTGATGCTGCTAAAGTAAGAAATTGTCGTTGGGTGGGTTCTGTGAGCAGACTTGCACAGGAGTGAAATGTAAAAGGAAATTCACTGTTATCCACTGCTCTGTTAAGCTGAGGTTAAGGATGAAAACATGAATTTAATCCCTGTGTTTTCAAGAAGAGGGGAAATTTTATTCAAATATTGGAGATCAGCACTGGGACTGCAATTTGCTGAGAGCAGAGCAGGGAGCTGTGCTTGCCTTTCTTTTTCCTGTTTGTTTCAGGAAAGCAGACCTCAACTCCTTGAAACTTTACTGCAAGTTTAGTTTTTGAGTCACAAAAGGAAGGTGAAAAAAAAGCAAGGAGATCAAATCAGCTGTGTGGTTTGAGCTCATTTCTAGAGCAGACAGCCTGGGATCTTTCTTTAATATCTTTTAGAGTCAAGTGCTGAAATCAAGCCCTCATTTTAGAGGATTTAGGGTACTTTTTTGTTATTCTCACAAGCCAGTTTGACTCATAAAGAGGGAGGAGCCTGAATTTATGATTCCACAGAAGTGGCTGGAAACCTCACAAGTGCAAGGGTTCTCTGGAGAAGTCAACACAAACCATGGAATGAATTTTACAGGGACATTTTACCCGGTGTTTCTACCATCTGCCCCAAAGATTTGTCCCTAACTGTGCAGTTCCCATGAGCTAGGGCAGGTGCCAGCCTCTCTCACCTTTCTCAGTTTGCGGATGAAGAGGGTCAGCAGCAGCCAGAAGAGCGTGGCAGCCAGCCCTGTGCACACCAGGATGATCACCTCAATGTTGGATTTCTCCTCAGAACCTGCAGGTGAATGCACAGCCAGCTCAGAAAAGTGTCCAAATTCCCTGAGGGAGCCCTGTGGGACTCTGCATGCCCCAGGCCAGGCTCACCCTGGATTTTGATGAAGGCTGATGTGCTGTCCTGGCCCAGCTCGTTGGAGGCCCGGCACTCGTAGAGCCCCTCGTCGTCCTTCTTCACTCTCTCAATCACCAGCGTGTTGTTTTCCATGGAAATTCCTGTTTCAAGGCATTGTGGTTAGTGCTGGCACAATAACCTGCCTGCCAAAAATGCTTTTAGGGGACAGAGCTGAAGGTGAGCTCCCATCCATGCAGGCTCTGGTGTGAGGACACATTTTAATCCTGGCAACCTTTCTCTGACTTTTTTTTCCTTTTCAACACCTGGATAAATTATTTGGCATCACTTAAACAACAGCAAATGTGGCTGTTGATTTAGAGTGGGTAGAGCCTGGAAACTAATCCAGAAGTTAGCAGAGGGATGCAGGATTGGTGGCTGATAGCAGGAAAATACACTTGGAAAAATGGGAACTCAGTGGAATTCCTGAAGGCTGTGGGTAGGGATGGGACTTCTAACATGGGGAGGATGGAACTCAAGTAAGGCTCTTAGAAAAAATAATGGTGTGAAGCAATTCTGGATTCACAGGCAGCCAGGTGCAGTGGGAATAGAGAGGTTGCCTAGATATGACCTATGAGAGACTTCTCTATGTTTAATTTTCCCAATTTCATTATTCCTGGTTGGTGGTACTGCACTGAGAGTTCTCCTGTTTCACTGAGGGATGACTGGGGGAGAAATAGGGAAACAGGTCAGGCTTGCAATCCAAAAGGGAAGGACATTTTGAATTTCTGGGTGTTCTGCCTGTGCATCCCGTTGTTGTTAACAAGAGTACTGCACACAACTTGCCATGCACTGTGCTGAAATATTTACCCTGAGGTGTTTTTTCCAAATATTTTATTTATGTTTCCATTGGTTGGATGAGTTACATGCTTGTCCCTCTAGAATTATTTATAAAATTTCAGTAGCTATAAAGAGTTTCTCTCAGAACATTCTGATCTGAATTATGGATGATCCTAGATTTCCTACCTAGTCCAAGTTGCAAAATTAAAGTCACAGGACCAGCTGCTGACATGGGATTCTCCATGATTTATGGGAGGGCCCAGGCCATACTCAGCTCTGCACTGGGGCAGCCTCATCTCCAGTGCAGCTTTGAGCACCAGAATATAAAACAGCCTTGAAGAATTGGAGAGCATCCAAGGAGGCCACAAGGATGGGGAAGGCTCTGGAGGGGTCTCATGAGGAGGGGCTGAGGGCCCTTGGTTTGTTCAGCTGGAGGAGGCTGAGGGGAGACCTCAGTGCACTCTTCAACATCTTCCTGAGGGACAGCTCCAATCTCTGCTCCCTGTGACAGGGACAGCACCCAGGGCATGGCCAGAGCTGGGCCAGGGCAGGGTTAGGCTGGAGATCAGGAAAGGTTCTGCCCCAGAGGGTGCTGGCACTGCCCAGGGAATGGGCACAGCCCCGAGGCTGCCAGAGCTCCAGGAGGGTTTGGACTCTGCTCCCAGGGATGCCCAGGGTGGGGTTGCTGGGGGTCTGGGCAGGACCAGGATTGGACTGGATGATCCTGTGGGTCCCTTCCAGCTCAGCACACCCCATGACTCTATGGCACAGAGCTGGGAAGGCCCCTGGGCTCAGGGGAGGGGCTGCAGGCTCAGGTGAGGCTCCCTGCCCATGGTGGCTCTGTCCCACAGAGCTGGGAGCACAGTCCCATCACTGTGCTGAGGAACATAAAGGACATTTCCTATGCCATGGGATGCCCTGAACCCCTCTGCCAGGTGACTTTGCTGCAGTTTGTCATGGCCAGGACAGCTGAGAGCTCAGCCTGTGTTGCCAGACCCAGGTGCACCTGGGGCTCAGTTTTGTGCCCAAACTCTGGTCCCACACAAGCAGCCTGAGCAGCACTCCTGATTTCCCAGTGCTATCCCAATGTGTGCTGGGCTGGAGCTTCCTCCCAGCTCAGAGTCCAAGCTGGAGAGCCCTGCAGTGCCCTGGCACCCTTGGATCTGTGTGTGTGTGCCTGAGTCATGGGCTCAGTTATAGGTGCTGTGTCGTGGTGACCCTGCCAGCCCATTATCCCACATCCCAAACAGCTCTGGGCAGCAGGACCTCACCTGATGCTGCTGAGATGGGGTAGCCATTCTTCCTCCAGGTGACCTGAGGCTCTGGGGTCCCACTGACCTTGCACTCCAGCAGGATCTTGCCACTGATGTTGACCTCCAGGTCCGTGAGGTTCTGGATCACGACCGGCGCCGCCTTCGCTGCAGCCACAGAGGGAAAGAGCCCCAGTCAGGTCTGGGGGCCCTTCCCTCACCCCCCTCCTTGCACAGCCTCTCTGTGGTGTGGTGAAGGTTAGGTTGATCAAAAATCCCCCCAAAGGTTCTGGGAGGAGTCGGTGAGTTTGTTTGGTTTATTTTCACACTTGGGTTTGGCTGTAGCTCCAACTCCTCATCCTCTGAAGAAAACAAAGGACAGGGAGTGGGTGGTGCACATGCAGAGTGAAGGCAAAAAGGAGAAAAGGGGGAAAAGAGGAAACAGTTCTAAAGGTTTTTTATCCTCCATCAGGAGTGCAGTTTTCTCCTTACTACAAACCATGGTAACACCCACTTTATGTTCATTTATAAAAGGTGCAGGACAGCAATGAATAAAACCACAAACACAGCATAAAATATACCCCAACCTGCAGTGAGGACAGAAGATGGGGGGCATTAGAACATATAAAATGTTTGAATAGGGGAAGGAAAGCTGTTTGGAGGGACATTTCCATGTGTGCTCTGCACAAGAGTTGTCTGACACGTGCCAGACAGATGACAGACCCCAGTCATCCTCACAGGAACGTGATCCTCATTCCAGCTCTCCATGCATGTATTCACAGTCTAGCTGTGTTTTTCCCATAGCTGTGCTGTGTAGGTGTGTGTGTAGGTGGAAATCTGACTGACTGAATAAAAATATCTGCCAGGGGAGAGCAAAGGGAAGTGCCTGAATGCAGAGAGCAGAGCAAGGCCAGTGCCTCAGAGCAGGTGATGCTCACAGGTGGCCCTGGTGCTGTGAGGACCAGCCAGACCATGGTCACTGCCCAATACCTGAGTGAGACTCCTTCCCTTCCTCTCTGCCTCAGGAAAAGGGAGATGTCTGTGTGTGAAATAAATCACCTGCCAGTCTGGAACCAGAGCATCTGTGTGTGGGGCTGGGGCTGGGAGGCTGCACAGGGAATGTGCCATTCCCTCCAAGGCTGAGGGCAGCACTGGGCTGTGCTGAGGGACCCTGCAGTGCCCCCTGAGCCAGAGGAGCCAGTCTGAAAATCCCTGGCCAGTTCAGCACTCTGACTCCTGCTCCCTGACTTGCTGCTGTGTGTCTCAGTTCTACTCCAGTTCTGTGCTTTTGTTTTCTTCACCATTGGAAGGTGGTTAATAAATCTATCCATTCCCCATGCCAGCAGCCCTTTGTTTTCTGAGGAGGCTTAGAGATGATCACCCACCTTCTTCACTCTGAAGCAGAAGAAACTTCACTAATTTTCAGTGACTTCCTACGGGCAGAGGTGTCCTGCCCTTTGTATTCCCACAAGATCTCAGTGAAATGGAAGAGCTGGGGGCTTGGGTGTAAGTAAGAAAATAATTGTTCTAACAAAGTGCATCCCTCTCACCCAGAATACCCAGAATAAATGGCACATGTCCCTTGATTTTACACTTGTCCAGGGACATTTGGGATCTGCTGGGTGCAAATCTATTCAGGTATCTCATCCTGGCAGCTGAGAGTGGCTACCAAAGTCATATAGACCTGGGGTGAGCATCCCAAGCTACAGTTGTGCTGTCAGTAAATGGTGGGTGATGCTTTTAGTCCTCAGCCAGCTCTAAATCTGCACCCAGCATGGAGCTGGGAAGAGAAATGCTGCTGAAATCACCTTGATGTAATCTCAAATATTTCATCCAAAGCCAGCAGTGGCTGGGTGAGTGTTCTCCATGCCAGGCTGTCAATCCACACAGAGTAAATGACAGAAGCAAAGCAGGGCAGGACACAGGGTGTGTGTTAGGACACATCCCAGTGTCACTGTGCCCTGGCACATACCTCTGACCAGGAGCTGGCTGTGCTGCTCCAGCGTGTCCGTGCTGTTCTGCTCATTCTGGGCTCGGCACTTGTAGAGGCCACTCTGCTCCCTCGTGACATTGGGAATCAGCAGGGTCAAGGAGATGGAATATTTGTCCATTTTCCTGACCACAGAGCGGCTGGGAGCTGCCTCTGAGGAGGGGTAGTACCAGGCCAGGTGGGTGTAGATGTACTTGGAGGCCCGGCAGGTCAGCTGGACGTCATTGCCCACGATGGCTGTGACTTGGGAGGGTGTTTGCAACCCAGAGGGCACATCTAGGAGGAAGGGAAAACATGTTTGGAATGAAATCCCAGCTCAGATGATCTTTGGCTGCCTGGCTGTTACTTGAGGGGTCAAATTCTTAGCAGCAATGGAAGAAGCCAGGTTTAATGAGGATAGAATTCACAGAATCACAGAATGACCAGGTTGGAAGAGACCTTCAAGACCATCAAGTCCAACCCAGCCCCAACACCTCACCCAGTGCCACATCCAGGCTTTGTTAAACACACCCAGGGATAGGGACTCCACCACCTCCCTGGGCAGCCATTCCAGAACTTTATCACCTTTCTGTAAAAAAGTTCTTCCTAACATCCAACCTGTATTTCCCTTGGTGCAGTCCCTGAGACTGTCAGTTCTTGGAGAAAGAGCCCAACCCCACCTGAGCACAGGCACCTTTCAGGAGCTGTGCAGAGTGATAAGGGCACCCCTGAGCCTCCTTTTCTCCAGGATAAACAACGCCAGCTCCCTCAGTTATGGGAATGTGGAAACAGGCACTGGAGCTGGGAATTAGGGAAGTGAAAGTTCCTCTTACTGCCCAGTGCTAACCTGTGCTAGTCCAGCCCTCAGCATTCTAAAGTAATGAATTGAAAGCTTATAAATAGAAGGAGTTAATGGACTGGGAGAGTTTAATCAGGAGCTGTTTCTATCCAGTAGATGAATGTGTTTGTGAGCTCTTCCCTCTCCACAGTCAGGGCTGGAAAGTATTAATTGCAGAGGAATAAAGAAGCCCATTCCCATCCCTCAGGAGCAACACCTTCTTCCCCACTGAACAGACTCCTCAGCTCTCCCTTATTCCAACTGTGCCAATATTTATTTCCATCACATGTGAAAATGCTGGATATTTACTTGATCACTGATGGATTAACTGATCTAATGATGTCTAAATCCTTGAGGCCTTATATTTAGCAGAGAAGTACTCTGAGTCATGACTCTGACCATGAAAGAGTGAGCTGTTTCTTGGTCCATTTTTAGTAACTTTTCACTCCAGAAAAAAAAAAAATTAAAAAAACCAAATTTTCCTGAAGTGGCAAACTGAATCCATTTGAAAACAAGAAAAACTGAGTGGAAGGCCAGAGCCTGCCCTGCAGTAGCTGCCAGAGACCTGCAAGTACATTGGGGCTGGAAGACACTTTATTGCCTTTGGGTTTTGTTAATTTTAGGGATCTATCCACCTGAATGAAAGCTCATGAATTCCCACAGTGATCTGGGATTATTCTGCTGTCTGTTAGGTCAGGATTTTCAAACTGAGAGTTGTGAGGAACCTCTTATCAGTGTGAGCAGGGATGGGACCCTTGGCAGGGCTCACTCTGGGCCATCTTCTGAGCAGGACCAGGTTTGCCCTAAATCTGAGAGATGATTCAGTGCCAAGGTGTTGGTGAGATGCTTTCTCAAGCCAGGATGAGCTGGTGGGACTCTGAGAGGACCAGGGGTTAAAGCAGAACAAGTGTGCACTGCATTTGCCATCTGCACATTCCACCTGGAACCTGCCCAGGGGCTCCCAGTGCAGAAAGTTCTGCAGAAGCTGCAGCTGAGCAGAAACAGTGAGGCTGCTGAAATAACCAATCTGCCTTAGAATAAAGCACACATTCTAGAAAATACAGAGCCCTGGAGGAGCTTTCAGAGATTATTAAAAAGTCTCTCTTCTTCCCAAGTCATCTGGAGCAGAACCCATGAGCTTTTGCTTCATGGTTTTTAAAGACTGGCACCAGAAATATTTCACAAAAGATCCAAAAAGAGAAGAGACCCCCTCAGGCCACAGCTGTGGAAATTGTTCTTTTTCTCTCATTTCCTTGCGCTGGAGTTGCAGTTTGCTCTCTGCAGGGTGTTGTTAGGCTCAGTTGTTCTCTCTTGGTGCCAGCTGTGTGCTTGGGCTGTCTTGTGTGACACTGCTCACTCCTGACGTCCTGGGCTTCCAACATGTCCAAATCCTGCTAATCCACATGGGGGGAATGTCTGAGGCCACCCAGGGCTCCCCAGAAGGGCAAACTGGGAGCCAGTGGGACACTGGGCTGTGGCAGGAGCAGCATTTCACATCTCCTGAATCTCTCCAGCCAAAACATGGAACAAGTGCAGCATCCCTTGGGATAAGCCTGCCTGGGGCATGGCACAGCTTGGGCTGCAAATTCCCACTGAATGAGATTCCTAAGCCCTGAGTTTTGAAGGATGCTCCATAGTTTTGCTTTGTTGCTGGACTTGAAAGTTACTAGTTTGTTTTTTTTTTTCTACCAACTTAACATTCTGGGAGCAGAGGCTCGGCTTGTTTTTCTTATCATTCCTTCTCCTGACATTTTTTATTTAGCATTTTGAATATTTTTAGCTGGAACCTGTGCTATTCTCTCCCATCTTGTTTGCCTTTCAAGCAGCTCTTTCAGCTCCAATAGAATATTCATTAATTTTCATCGCAGTGGAAGGAAAAAGAGAGGAAAAAAGAAGTTGCTCTGCTCTATCTTTTCATGCTCTCCTCTCTCTTTTCTCCTCCTACCTGGATTATCAGGGGAGTGAGTGCAGCTTGGAGAGCACATTTCAAGTCAGTTCATCTCTCAGACAGCTTTGCTTACATAATCCTGAACCTGAGCAGTGATTAACTTCCTTTCTCTGAACAGATACTGTGTTTTAGAAGGCTCCTAATAAGTTGGCTGAAAGAATGCACCACGGGGCCTTTTCCCTTTTATCAGCAGTCACCAAACATTTGTCTCTGGTGTTGGGTTACAGCATAGTAGCTGCGAATTTCCCTCTCCATCGTGTGGGATTCTGTGGCAAAAGAGGGAAAGGAGCCATTGGGGGGAGGTAAAAAGGCAGCATAAATCAAAGGCAAGGCTGGCTCCATTTGTATTTACAAGGAATTAATTGTTTTTAATTTCCTGTGCTTTGCACAATAATCTGTGTAATTCAAAACTTCTGCTCTTACCCAAATTCCAGCCTGGGCCTGGCAGGGGGGTTGCACCAGGAACAGGGATGGAGGGAAGGGGGAGCCCCTCTAAATGGAGCAGTGGTGCTTGTCAGGAATCCTGTCAACACCTGGGAATGAGCAGTTCGGAGCGGCACAAACTCCTAGAACAGCCCAGCTCATCCATTGTTCTGCTATCTGAGAGCAGATTTTTATCTCCTGCTGGAAATGCAATATTTTCTTTCGGGCAGAAACCTTTAACTCCATTTTTCTCAGTTGTTTTGGCAATCAGATAAACCCTTGAAAAAAGGGCTATGGTTATTATTTGTTATTCTTATCATAATTCATTTATATTCCCAGAACATTCTGAGTTTTCAGATGGGTGGGATCCCACTTTGCTGAACGTGGTGCAGTCAGACAAAGACTGGAGTTTGATTTACTCTGGACCTGCAGCTCTGTGGAGCTGCCCTTTCCAAGGTGCAGAGCGGAGATTAGACATTAAATGACAATAAATGACATTAAATGACATTAAATGACACTTGTCCATGGCAGAGAATCCCTGCAGGAGACACCAGGGCAGCTTTTCCCTGCACTGGGGAGTTTGCAGCCTGCTGGGAATGTCCTTTGGAGCTGGACAATGACATCTCTGAGCATCTGGTGGCTCACCAGATGGCTTAAATGGGAACTCTGGAGTCAGAGCAGGGGTGGGAAAGGCAGGCAGGGGGCAGATCTTGATTGGATTGACACAAAACAAAAATCCTGGAGCAGGAGTTGGGCCAGGACACGATGGATAAATGCCTTCAGCAGAGACTGCAGAGGGACAGTGACAGCCAGGCCGTCTGCAGCAGGGGCTGCCACTGCATCATGAGATTTCTCATCACTCTGGACCCCTTATAAGGTTTGGATTCTGAGTGCTCTCCAAAACCTGCTGACCCCTCCTGAAATGAACTCTGCTGGCAGAGAAATGATTTAAAAATAGAGCCCAGTGCTAATTCTGGTGTCCGTGGGAGTTTTTGTGGGGGTTCTGCAGTGGAAGAACAAAATGGTTGCTGACAATTATTCCACAGGGATAAATTAATTTTGCTGAAATGAAGGTTGTGGTGGTGGAAACATCAGACTGAAGTGAGCACATCCCCAGAGAGCAGCATGGACAACACCTGAGGAAGTGTCCCTGGAACACTCTGCCATGTCCTGGGAAAACATCTCAACCCTGCCCCAGTGGAACAGGGATTTGAGGGAGTTCAGCCTCTGTGCCATCCTCAGATTTCTCACCAGGGAGAAGTGAGTTAAGTCCAGTTCAGCCAGAAGGTCTGAAAGCAGCTCAGGGAGCAGCAGCTGGTTTGTTGGTAGGAGATAATGGGAGAGCAGGTCTTTAAAATCAGCAAATTGCTGAATGAATGGAGGGGTGCCACACTTGGAGCTGCTTTGCAGAGATCTCTGAAATGCTACAAACATTTCCCAGATGCCCCAAAGCCCCAGGTGTTGCTCATGTGCTCTCAAGCTCTACCCCAGCCTTCAGCTCAGTCCTGAGGTTTGACCTGCACACAATGAACCTCCTCAAACCCATAAAGTGACCAGCTCAGAGCCTTGTGCTGTGGGGCCTCCTCTGCCTGGAACCTCTCAGGCCATCCCTGGATGTCCCTCAACACTGAGACAGGAGAAAACTCCTGGGCAGAGTCACCTGGAGCTGCTCCAGCTGCTCCAGGTGTGAGGGTGACCTGCAGAGCTCTGCCCACAGCCTGGCCCTGCTGGAGCTCTCAGAGAGGAAAGCCCACAGCAGGCACTGCTGCTGCTCACTGCTGCAGCATGACCTAGTTTGGCACCAGGACAGCCACATTTAGAAAGTTTTCATTCCTTTCTAGTCCATAAACACCACTATTTTTAAACACAGCACTTCCAAAAGCCAGTCATGCTTGGTCAGCATTTGCCTCTTCCCCAGAGTGGTGCAGACTCCCAGTTTCCCTTCCCAGGCTGGAACACATCTGCCTGTTCACCTCCTGCTCTGCTTGGGTGAATGGAGACATCCTCACCAGAACCACTGTCAGTAATTTCACCCAGTGATTCATTTCCTTCATCATTCAAACTGCATGATTAAACCACTTGTGTCTCAAAACATTGCTAGATCGATCTTCAAATAAAAAATTTGAAATATTACCTCACCGTGGGCGGAAAAAAACCCCCTACATAACTTTAAAATAAACCAGAGTTGTGCAAGGTGCATGGATGATCTAACCCTTTGGATCTGACCTTATGCTCCTGGCTTATTTCTTTGGGTTTAGTCACCAAGTGTGCAGTTCTGTGTTCAGTTGGATAACCCACCCAGACACAGCAGAAGTCCCAGCAGGACACAACACTTGGAAGGGGTGATGTGGAAAATTAATAGTTGGTCTTCAGCCTGCCTTGGACATCTTTGGGACCTCTTATATCTGAGCTGTGTCTCCCAAAAATGCACCTTGAAGGGCATTTCCCTGAGTAAATGAGAATTGGGACTTTGGGAAATATCTTTTGGAGGCTGAAAGCCTCTCCTGTGTCCTGTCACCTCTAATGGGGGTGAAATCTTTGCCCTCAATGGCTCCTGTTTCATTATTGTTGGATGGCATTTTTCTGTTGGCATTGTGTAACACCAATGGGAACAGTGTTTGGTGAGCCCTTTTTTGGCTGGAGGGATTTGAAAGGTGCTGGATTCCTTTGGAGCAATGGAGTCAAACAAGCCAGGAGGGAGGAGAGGCACAGGAGTGCAGATCCCTGCCATGAACAAGCTCTGCCCTCCCAATTTGTTCATGGGCAAGGAACCAAGCAGTGAGAATCAGACATTTACTTTCCAGGACATTTCTGCACTCTTTGTTCTAAAAATCGATATTTTGATGCAAATCCTGGCAGCCAGCATCCACTCATCCAGAAAGTGAGCACAGAAACGTCTCAGTTTGTTCTGGGTGAGCACTTGAATGAGGCTGTCCCTGGACTCTCCTCTCTTTTTGAGCTGCCATCTCTCCTGAAAGCATGATGTAGATGTTGATCTCACTGCTAAAGAATCCCTGTGCTGAAAGGTTAAGTGGATATTTGTTTGGATTTGTGTTCTGTGGAGAACCTCCTCCCTGCACCAAGGGCACTGCAGAGGCCCAGGCAGGGCTCCAATGTCACCAGTGCCACCAGCCTGGACCAGGCTGCATCCTGGCCTTGCTCACCTTTGTATGCCTGCTGATTTCCTTGGGGAACAACCCTTCTGCTGGCTCAGGGACAGGCTCCAGGCCTCTGAACACCACAAAGGTTTCAGCTTTGCCAGAGGTTTCCCAAGGACAGCTCTCAAATGTCACCAGTGCTGCTTTAAGGCACAGAGAGGGACTTGGGGCTGCAGCTGCAAAGGGCAAAGAGCCATCGGGGCTGGACATGTCCAGCCTGCCTTGGGTGGGGTGAGGAGCCTGGGACTGCTCCAAAAAAACAACACACAGGGATGGCCAGGAGTCCGAAGCAGCCCTCAGCAGGCTCCCAGGGAGCTGAGAGCAGCAGCAGTGCCCGTGGGGAGGTGTTGGTGCTCACCTGACACGTAGAAGGCGATGCTCCGCTCCTCCTCGCCCACCTTGTTGGCAGCCACGCAGTAATAGACCCCCGAGGCACTGCTGTCCTCCATGCTGAGGGTACTCACAACCTGCCCACAGAGAGAACACAAGGAATGGCTCTGAGGGTGGGTGAGGGCAGAAAAGCTGTTAGGAAAGTTGTTTCTAGTTAATAATGGGTGAAAGTTCCCGACAAGTGCTGCTACTTGGTTTTTGTCTCTCGGCATCTCAGCCCAGCTAATTCTCTTCCCTCCTCATTCCTAAACCTTACCCTTCGTTTTTCCCCTGTCTTACCCATGAAAAACAGGGACCTGCCAAGGTCTTTGTGTGACAACATCAAGCAAAAAGCTGAAGGGAAGGGGCTGAAGGATCCATTCAAACACAGTCCCACAGCCATCTCTTCCCTTTGCTGCTTTTCAGCTCTGGGTTGTGTGGGGAATATCCGCATATCCATAGGTAATTCCTATGGATGTGGTACAATATTGCAGCATTTTGTTTTTCCCTCAGGGAAGGGAGGGAATGATGTGGCCCCTTTGTGCTTGGAGCCCCTTGATCCCAAACCCTTCCCTGGAGCTGCACAGGAGGGGTTCAGTGAGGAGGGAGCTCTGCAGAAGCTGCCAGTGCTGGAACATTTGGTAAATACAGAAAGGGAGGATCATGGGGAAGGAAGGAACACTTGTCCTGAGCTTCACCACATCAGAACAGAAGGGGGTTCTGTCACTCCTGGGGTGAGCTCAAACATGTCCTTAAGAACTTGTGCTCCTTAAACCTCCCAAGGCCCAGCCATGTGGCACTGCCCTGTCCCTGTCAGTGCAGCCTCTCAGGCTCACACAGGAACATCCACAGACCAAGCCTTTAATTATTCCTTGTATTCCTTTGGAGTGGGAGCAGGAAAACAGGCCCTGAGCCACCAAGACAGAGATGTTCCTGCAGGATTCCTCTGCTTCCCCTGCAGCCATTCACCTGAGGAGCTCTGAGCCCTCACATTTGGAACAAATATCACTTTCTTTGCCATCCTCTCTAAGGCCTTTGAGAATCAAAACTTATAACACCCCCTGGCCCTTTGTCCTTATCTCCAGAGAGCTCTTTGAAGTGCACAGAAGCATCTCTGGACTTTCTTTTTAATATCCTAAACTAAACTCACACAAGACACTCCTTTACCCCTCCTAAAGCTGCCCTATGAGAGTGTCTAGAGCTGTGTGGGATGAATTTTCTGAGTTATTTAAGATTTGCTGAGATCTGGCACTTTAAATCCTGCAGGGAAATGAGTTCCAAAGGTTTTGATCCCATGTGCATTTGCCATTCTGATGGTGAGCATTTGCAGCAGAATAAGGGCTGAGTGGAAAAGTCTTCACTTTTCATGGTGAGAATGGAGAACCCCCAAATTTAGGGGTGAAAAAGGAGAGCAGCAAACCAAACTCCCTCTGGTGTCCAGCACAGAAAGAGCTGTGCAGTCCTGAGTGATTTATGATGTGAAAAGAGCTCTTCCTTGGCTATAAAACCAGCCTGGCCATGAGAGCAGCCTGCTCCTCCTCCTGCTGCTGGTCCTGAGCAGTGGCCCAGAGCCATGGGCTGGGAAGGAGTTCATGTCCAGAGCCCTGAGCAGCAGCAACTCTGGAATTCCTGCTGAACCAGGACCAACATCTCCCTCCTCATGGCTGCTGGAGCTGAGCATTTCATGTTTGGGAAGAGCAAAAGCCAATATAAATGTACGTGCTGAGGACAGGAGGGGATACATTTGGACAGCTTTTAACAGCAATTAGTCTTCCTAAGTGACAGCTCTAGCTGGGAAGTGCAGGATAACACTGCAGAGCCAGGCAAAATCATAAAATATCCATTCTGGGACATGTCCAAAGTGTTAGGGGTGACACTGTGGCTCTTCTAAACACTGATGCAATGCCTCAAGCTGCTTGGTGGCCCAGAGGTAAATGCTCATGAGCACACACAGACAGATGCTGATATCTCCAGCTCCATAACTCAGGAAAAGTCTGGCAGGACAGTGGGAAAACAGAAAAAAAGAGAAGGAAAAAAAAAGAGCAAATAGCTATCCTGAGACCTCACTGGAGCTAATCTCAGCTGTGTCTAGATATGAAGGTGAAAAAGATGGTAAATGACAGTGGGAAACAATCTGGGGACAAATTCTCGGGAGAACAAAACTACTGAGGAATAAAGGGAAAAAACCAAACCAAACCACTGAGGAATAGAGAGAAAGTAATTTTCTTGTTTGGATGCTCTGGTGATTGTTGTGCACTTGGATCCCAAACCCTGACACACCTGGCACCAGAGATCAGGCACTTGCCTGCCTGGGCCCACAGCTGGCACCTCCCAGAGCCCTCCAGACTGTGACTTTTAAACCAACAGCACCCAGTGGAGACCTACATGTGATCCCAGGGCTGGCAATTCAGGATTTTGAGTGATTTTCTTGTAAGATGAATTTCCTGCAATAATTTTGTATCAACCTTTCACTCCAGCTGTGTGCTCCTGGGTAAATCCCTGAGCCTGGGAGCCCAGTTATCTTTCCAACATCTGAAATAAAGTTCTCAGTGGTCAAACCAATTTAATCCTTGTTGGTTTGGTAGCTGAAATTTGAAGTCTGTGTGTGTTTGGTCACAGTGGCAGGTTGGGATAAGGATTTTGTTCTTCTAAATGCCATCCCTAATGAAAAAATGGTTTTAACTTGAGCACCCAAACTCAGGGATCTTTTCCCTTTATTAACAGTGCAAACTATTGGGGCACAATCCCAGAATCTGGGGACCTTTAGCAGACAGTGGAAAAATTCAGAGGGGATAATCCCTGTGTGTGCTCAGTCTCTGCACCTGGAGAAGTATTTTCCACTCCTGGAATCATAGCCAGGGTAGAAAAGCCTGAGACATATTGGAGTGAGTCCAGAGGAGACCACAGAGCTGCTGCAGGGCTGGAGCCAGGCTGGGAGAGCTGGGGGTGCTCACCTGGACAGGAGCAGCTCCAGGGAGAGCCCAGAGCCCTGCCAGGGCCTGAAGGGGCTCCAGGAGAGCTGCAGAGGGACTGGGGACAGGGATGGAGGGACAGGACACAGGGAATGGCTCCCAGTGCCAGAGGGCAGGGATGGATGGGATATTGGGAATTGGGAATTGTTCCCTGGCAGGGTGGGCAGGCCCTGGCACAGCTGGGGCTGCCCCTGGATCCCTGGCAGTGCCCAAGGCCAGGCTGGACATTGGGACACCCTGGGACAGTGGGAGGTGTCCCTGCCATGGCAGGGGTGGCACTGGAGGGTTTCTGAGTCCCTCACACCCCAAACCCCTCTGGGATTGATTCCATGATCAAGGCAGGGCTCACCCCACAGCTGCTTCTCAGAAAACCCAGAGCACAGCACTCTCTGCTGAGCTGGATAATGATTGATGGGAAACCTGCAACTGCCTTAAAATTTTGTGCCTCTGCACTGAAAATGCCATCAATGCACTATTTACAGCCTGGAAATGTGCAGGTTCCAGCTTCCCTGGCCCTGTGAGCAGCAGTGACAAGGGGCTGTCCCACCCTCAGCTCCTGTGCAGGCAGTGCTGGCACGAGGCTAATTAATAACAAATTATTGGCATGTTGTGTCTAGACATCTTCCTAGATGGGATCCTGGGAGTTCACTGCAAACCAAACACATCTCTGCATTGCCTGGGCTGGATTTGGAATTAAGGACTCCATTTCCTATGACTTAACCTAAAGGCCACCCAATACTGCGAGCCCAAGGAAGGGATTATTAGCTAATAAATAATTACTAGGAAAGAATAAACTAAGTTTAAAGCTCAATAAGCAAAGGAATAAAATTAATGGTTTCTGAAGAACAGCTCTGACAAGTAAATAGAGCTTGCTGCTGGGAAAACTCCTGATGGAGTAGTTCAATAAAGTCCATATGTAATGTTCTCAAACTGATAAAAATAAGTTATTTTAGAACCAGCCAAATAACATTCCCCAGCCATGCACTGTGAGTGTTTTAAGACATCTTGTAGTAAGGACAGAGCAACGAGACCTTTCTTAAGCTGGAGCCAGCATGAATTAATATCTCTTGTTATTGCTTGCTTTCTCTTTCCTTTGTCTGCCCCTCCCCACCCCAGAGCTGCAGTTAACAATCCTTCTCCCTTCACTTCGTTAGCTCCCCGTGGGCAGGATGAGGAGAGCAAAACGTGGGTGGAAAACTTCTCAGCTGTCTGACTGTGGCAGGGCTGGGCTGGAGGTGGCTTCAGGGAGATGGAATTACAGAACTTGAGCAGGGAGCCTGCACAGAAAGCACTCAGCTCACTGCTAATCCATCCACTGGAGTGGCACACACAGCACTTGTTTGCACAGCCTGACAGTGCTGAGCCAGGGCTGGAGTTCATTCACTCAAAACATGCTAAAGGATGAGCTGAGCTGAGTGAGGAGAGAGGCTGGGGCTGCCTGAGAACTGCCAGCCTTGCTCCCATCTCGGGCAGGGGCTGTTCTGTCCCTGGGAAAGGGGAGCAGCCAGTGCCTTCCTCAGGGTGAGCAGAGCTGGTGGCAGCACTGGGAGGTCAGGGAAGCTGCTGGGCTGGGGACTGGGGTTAACTGTGGCCTGGAGGGACTGCTCACCCTGAGCCCCTGGAGCAGGTGGGTAAATCCTGCCTGGTCCTGAGCAATCACCACCCCCTGCTCCTTCCTCCAGTGACTGCAGAGTTTTTGTTCTTTTTGTTCCTTCAGGAGGTCAAAACCTGGCATTTTTGGGTTGGTTTTCCTGAGTGGTTGTGAATTTAGGAGGTCAGGGAAGACAAAGGGCCGTTCTGCTGTCCCTGCTGCTGGCCAGGCTCTCACCAGACCCACCAGGGACAGCTCCTGTGCCTGGGCAGTGCCTGACACACCTAGGCTGACCCCAGGGAGTGGCTGCAGTGTCCCAACCCTGTCCCTGTGCTGTCCCCTTCCTGGCACAGCCTGGGGTGACAGGGCTGGAGAAGCTCCTGGAAGTGACAGATTTGAACAGCCTGCCTGAGCTGCTCACACACTTCTCACCACACACATCCCACTGCTCTAATGGAGACTTTTTGTTCCTTCAGGAGGTCTAAACTTGGCGTTTTTGGGTCAGTTTTCTTGAGTGGTTGGGAATTTCACCAGCAGAAACACCCACGTGGCCTGGCCACTCTCATATAGACATGAAAGGGAGAAAAGAGATGAAAAGAACCCCCCAGAGAGAGCTGAATTATGCATGAGTCTTGCTATTCCCTTCTGCTGGTCCCAAGCTCAGGCCAGTTTGTTATTTTGCTAACAGGAAAGAAAATAAAATAGAAACCTAGCTCCTTGTGACTTGAAAAGTCAGGCAATTCCTGCAGTCACGAGTGTTACACCTGGTGTGAAAAAGCAGATTCAGAGGAGCCCTGCAGTGCTTTAACTCCCAAAGTGAGGAGCTCAGGGTGGACCCCAAACCCCAGGGAAAATGAAACGATCACAGTGCAACTGCCTCAGCTGTGTGACCATTTCATTGGCCACTGTTGGACCAAAACTTCACTGAAGTGCATCATTCCCTGAACCATAACCTCGTGCTTCTCCTCAGGAGTGAGACTCAGGCTTAGGAAGGCAGGGGGAGCTGAAATTCACTTCTCTGTCTGTGGAATACTCATGGAATAATCATGATGAGGATGATGACAGGAGAGCTCAATTTTACATGGCACTTCTGTCAGGAGATGTCTGAAGAACTTCATGTGATCAAAGAGCACCAGGGGTTTGCTGGAAAAACCAATGCTTGCTGCCCTGCCAGCTTGCTTTGGGCAAATTTCTGGATCTGGTGACTCCAGGGGAGTTATTCCATATTTTTAGCAGCTCTAAACAGTTAATGCAAGTTTCCACATGTGGCTGGACCAGCTGTTATTGCCTCAGCTCCCAAGGATGAACTCTTGGGTGCTGACAAATCCTAGAGCCCAGATAAATTCCACCTTTTGCTCTGGAACTCCAATGCTCATGGGACAGCTCAAATCCCACAGGAAAATCCCCAACCTCAGCTAATCCCAGTTCCTAACAAAGCTCCTGAAAGCTCAGCCTCCAGCATCTTTATTTTTTCATCTCCTAGGTCAGTATAGGTGAATTACTTGCTGGGACATGGTGGGAATGGATTGGGCTGGTTCCTGTCTGTTCCATTCCTTTTTCCTCAGAGACTTTAAAAAAAATATATTCTATAATATAAAGACTCCAATTAACACAGTCTTGAACTTCAGAAAGGGGGAAGGAGAGGGACTGTCTGCAGTGTAAGCAGGGAGTGAAACCTGAGATTCTTAGAATTCAGTTATATTAATTTGAATAAATCTTAATCAGGACATAAAAGTTAATAGGAAGCACCTCAGCCTGTGTTTTCAGCCAGGCAGAAAAAGAATGAGTATGCTATAAATTGTAAAATTATGTAACTCCTTACTTTAGTAATGAAATATGTAAAAGTTGATTATATATATATATAATATATATGGAGAGAAACAGTAGCTCTGAGAGTCTCAAAGCTCTTGTCAGCCCATGCAGCAACCAAAAAGTCTTAGAAAAAGAAGAAACTTTGAAGGTAAATGTCACCAACCTCCATTTTTATAAATAATTAGCACTTTTAGGGGGTTGCTTTTACCTAAGATGTAAAATTCTTAAAGAATACATTAAAGCCAGAGCTTTAGGGGCACTATGCCATCTACATAAATCCAAATTTATAAATATCTCCCAGCAATGGAAAAACTCAGGAATGGGAGGCGAACACTGATTTTCTCCTTCCCAGCCCAAGCTCCATGTTTTCAGAGCTCTGGTTGGATTATGTTTAGAACTGGAAAGTCTCCTGAGAAAGAGCAGATGGCTGAGGCACTGATCCTGCCAGATGCTGATTTAGTCTGGAGCCACTCCAGGAGAGCACTTTAGCTTTGTGCTTAACTTTAAGCACGAGACTAACTCAAGGATTCTCCTGTGCTCAAAGCTGAGCCAGGATTGGATCCAGCACCCTGCAGGATCAGACACGGAACCATCTGGGACATCCACCTCCAAACCTGGAGCTGCAAACCCACTGCAAGTCCAGCAGGTGATCCCAGCCAGAGCCCAGCAGAGCCAGGAGGCCCCAAATCCATGGCACATTCCCAGCCTGGACGTGTGGAACACCAGCCAGTGTCACCACAGGCACCTGGGGACACTGAACAGGGAACCCTGCTGGGGTCTCTGCATTCACACAGGCAGGGTGATCCCAGGGCTGTTGGAAGGGGGAGCAGGCAGGGAAGTGTCCAAGGAAGGTTCTCCCTCCTTCATTTTTCCAGGGAAGTGGCTTCAAGCTGAGGGCTGCACACTGGAAATCAGAGCAGGCACCTGTGGCACTGTGACCACACCTGGGAGTGGAGGAAACAGGGCAGGACAAAGGGGGACAGGACAAAGGGGGACAGGACCAACAACTCTCCAAGTGTTTCATGAACTCAGAGTCCTTATCAGTGTTCACATCATGACACCCCTCGAACTGAACCACTCTCACACTTTCTCAAGACTGAGGGAGACACAGAAGGTTTTGACCCAGAAGTCTTGGGAGAGTTTAAATAGGGTGGGTGACATCATTCCCAAACCCCAGCACTTGTAAACTGAAACAGCAGAGATCTGGGATGATCCCAGCACTGGGGAATTCCAAGCATGCAAAGAACCCTCAGCAGCTTGGGAACCACGAGCTGGGGGTGAGCATCCCCTGCCATCATCCCCATCCCATCCCATCCCATCCCATCTCATCCCATCCCATCCCAGGCCACACATACCTTTGGTTTATCCCCCTGCCTCATGGGGATGTTCTCAATGCTCCTGATCTTGTTTCCTATGACTGTGTTCTCTGAAATCACAACTTTTGGCCCCTCAGGATTGCACCTGGAGGTGGAAAAGCAGAGATGGTGTTCAAGGTAAGCAGGGAGGTGTATTGGAGTGAGAAAATGTCAATTTTAGACAATAATCCTTGGTCTTAAATACTCCTAAGAACTGTTGCTGCTGGAGTCTGTTACATCTTTGTGAAATTCCTCCATTCCTTCTTTGCAACATTTCCAAATTATTTACAAGGCACCTTGACAGAGGCAAACAAAATCAGTGCATGACCAGCAATGAACCCTCCAATCTTTGCAAAGATTAGAAATGGAAAATACTGGACAATTAATTAAATCATGTGAGTTTTATCTGGCTAATATAAGTTATATTTCCAAATTCAAAATGCCAGTCACTTCAAACTGTTGGGAGGTGGATGTTGCTGTCTGCTGTGCTCAGCTTCCAACAGGAAGTGTAGGCTGAGGGAGTAGAAGGGATAAATACTTTATAAATAAATAAAAAATGCCCCTTTAATGTTGCACATTCCACAGAAGACACTTTTCAATCTTCATTTTGGAAGATGGGCAAGGAGCAGAGTGTGGAACACGTCATGTGGGAAGGTCCAGCTGCACTAAGGAGAGACCCAGCTCTTCTCATTGCTAAAAATGCAAAGGCTTTGAGCCCACCACGGGGTCTCAGGAGGTAAAATGGACTTTGACAGGGCTGATGCTGCAGAAAATCCCTCCACAAATCAGCCATGCCTTTGCCAAAGCCACACAAAACACAGGGGCAACACCCTGGGCCAGGGGAGGGTTTGGTGCTCTCAGAGGGGCCTCATTAGAAGATGTTGAGGGACTTCCTGCAAGGCACAATCCTGTCCTGAGGATGAAGGGGGAAAGCTCAGAGGAAGTAAAATCACATCCCAGCTCTAAGGAACAATGCTGGAGCTCAGGGATTCAAAGGGCACTGCTGAGGCAGAGTGGGGGGAGAGAAAGAGAGAGAGAGAGGAAGTCAGACAACAGAAGGAAATGGGGGCTGTGTCATTTCCCACAGGAATCCTCCTCCAGCTTCTGCTGCAGCAAGATAAGGCTGCCCCTGGGGCCAGCAGAGGTAGAGCCACTCTGCAATTGTATTTAAATTGATAAGATCAGAGAGCCAGAAAGCTGCAACAAGGGTTATGTGAGGTCCTTTGCCACCAGGTCAGTGGTTTGGATCTGGCTGAATTCAGCACTCATGGCCAATTCTCTCCTCCTAGACAGAGAGGTCTGGAAAAGATTTTGGGTCACCTCTGTGGTTTTCCTAGAGGATGCAGAAGCTGTTTCCATGTGGAGTTTCCACCCTGGTTTCATTGAACTCCTCCCAGGCAGAGCCCTGTGCCTCCTGCTGCCCTGCAGTGCCCAAAGCCATGAGATCCCTGAGGTGATTCCTTTAGGAGCAGAGTAACTGGGGATACCTCCCTGGGGCACTCCCAAGCTCAGGTTGCATCACCCAACATCCCTGTGCTGTACAGAAATCCTGGGGAAGGATTCTCCCTGATTTTCCTGTCTCATGGATTGCCATTCACAGCAACAAATGAGTGAGAAAATAAGCAACCCACCATCCAGGAATTTTCTCCCTTGCTTTCTAGATATATCTTCATTTTTCTAATGGGTGGAAAACCTGATTTCATCTCTCTCACTGCAGGGAGGAGCTGAAGTGTCAGAATTGTGCAGGACCTGGCTCCTGCATGTGCCCAGGGGCTACCAGGGAAGCGATGGGCACCAGGCCAGGCCTCTCTCTGCAGACCCCTCTGCTCAGGGAGCTGCAGAGCAAAGGGAAAGTCTCCTCAGGCAAGCCCCCAAAGGCATCCTGGTGTTCCCTGGCTCCTTCCTCTCTGGCAGCTTTGCCCCAGTGACTTTGCTGTGTGTTCACACCTCAGCCTGCAGCACAGAAGGGTCCCCAGAAAGACACAATTCCTCTCCCAGCTTCACGAACACCACAGGAGGCTGAGCCCAGATTGCAGAGTGAAGACAGCCCTTGGGAAGTGCCATGAATCCCATATGGATTTAAGGAAGCCAAGCCTTCAGCAGGTTTGTCTGGAAAAAGGTGTGTTAACTCTGCCCACACATCCTGCTGGATTTCCTTTGTCAAATATTCACAGCATTCAACAGGACTAAGGAAAGTCAGAGGGGCATTGCTGGTCGAGGTGAAGGAAAATTCAATGATCTTTAATCACTTTAAACTTATTTAACACAATTCAGGTAATACACAAGGTGCACGAATACAGCCAGACACCAGCTGGGCTCAGAATCCTGGAGATCTTCACTCTACTTGTGATTTTAGCTCAGATAATTAGGATGGAGTGGAAAGAAAACCTGGCTGGAAATACTCAACAATTCAGGAACATGTTCATCCACAGGGAAGTCACTTACAAGGTGCCTGTGAGGCTGCAGGGCTGCCACTTCCACTCAATCCTTGGCTCAGGATTCCCACTTGCTGTGCACTGGATTTTGTGTTTGCTTCTCAATTCCACCTTCACAACCTTATGAAAATCTGTTTCCTTTTCATAGATCTTGGGTCTCTCTAAAGACAAAATAAACCCACAAAATTCAAATGAGCAAATTTACATCCATAAAAGGTTTTGAAACATTTTGCTGAGAGAAGTGATGATCCAGTGAGAACCTGATGTTCTGGGGAATTCCCAGCAGTTCTGAAAATATTCCTTCATAGAAACAAGGGTGTTGGTTGTGCTATGTCACAAAACACATTGCAATGCTACCACATTCATCCTAATCCCTTTCAAGTGGTGTTGGGGACCTGCTGAAATTCTGGAAAATTCATGCCATGGAACATCTCTTGGTCACATCTTGGCTGCAGGATCAGGATCAGTCCTGGACTGTGGCAAAATGGAATTGGAGGGGTGATGTCCCTTCCTGAGAGGAACCTTTTCAGGCAGCTGCTTGGAAGTCACCAGGTCCTCAGGGCTTTGGGAAAAAACATATTTTTCACCTGGAATCTTTCCTTTTCTATGTATGTAATGTGCACTGGATGGAGGGGAGAAGAGAGTGAGGAAGGAGTGGTGTGGGGAAAACACTTGGAGAGAAATGCCAAGAAATTCTCACCAAGCACGGTGAATGCCATTAAAAATGTCACGGCATTACTCACGTCTGGAGGGGCCACAAGATCACACCCTCAGACTGGAAATCTCTCAAGAGCAAACTTTTTGTGACACTTTCAGGGCTGCTCGTTGCCAGCAGGAAAGAAATGCTTTGTCCTGTCTCCTTGCAGCTCCCACGGGAAGGCACGAAAGGAGAGAGAACGGGAAAAAAGCCCCAAAGTGAACTGAACTTTCACTAACCTCACACAGGGTGGCTTTGGGGCTGGGGTGAAAGCACAGGCTCTTCCCTTGTGCAGACAGCTCTGCCCATCCCTGGCCATATCTCTTTGTCTGCTTCTCATAACAGGAAATCAAACAGATTTATTGGTGGGGTCCCTCTGTGGGACACCCCTGTGCAGCCAAGAGGGGCTGCTCTGCACCGAGGCCTTCTGACAAGCTGGGAAGTGAATGGAGATTAGATTTCTGTTTTTTGGGCTAACTTATTTTTTCTGTTGTCAGAAGGGCCCCAGATATGTAAATATGAGCCATTGCCCACCTCATCAATCTTGAGCCCTTTCTCTCTTTTTTTTTAAATAGTTTTTTTGCCTTCCAGCCCTCTTAGGAGAGGACTGACCAGGCTGATCCCGTGTCTTGTCGGGACTCTCACTTGGCATTTCTCATGGTCAGGCTCTGAAAGATCTTCTGACCTCACCAATGCCTGAAAACACATCAGTATTTCCTTCTCCACCCCATGGAAGCATTGACTGGAGTAGGTTCAGTCATATCCCATCCTGTCATAAAACACTGGCTGTTCAAAGGACCTTCAGGAGGTCCTGATTAACATTTCCCCTGAGAAACCCAAATGCTGGCCCCTGCTTGGTGTGGCTCTCCTTGAGCAGAGCCATAGGATTCCACATGCTTGGAGATTCCTGAGCAACTCACAGGACAAACTGTTGGGACCAACAGTGAATTTCCTTACCTAGCATCTCATTTCCCATCAATAAATTATTTCTGATCATAAAAGTAATTCTGTAAATTCTCCCAGGAGGGGAAGCACATTTTTTATTATCTCAGACATTTCTCTTTTTATCTGAAATCCTGTGCTCAACATGTCTGGCCTGACCTCCCAAGTGTGATTGCACTTGGAGAAAGACTCCAAGTTCAGTGTGAGAGGTTACACACGTGGTGTGTGAAAGGTTACTCAAGTGCTGTTGTTTGGGCTGTAAAAACAAAGCTTCACACACTTGGGCAGGGGAACTGGTGTTTGTGTGTGTGAAAGAGCATGGGGAGACAAGGACTGATCACAGTCATTTAATATCAGCACATTTTTCTATATTCTTGGTTGACTGTCATTTAAATTGTCCTTTTAAAAAAGAAAGAATAACTAAACTTGCTCCAAGTCTAACAAGAACATACATGACTGAGGAGTGAATTCTTCATGCCACAATTATAGCACTATTAAATATGACTTGAGACCTAAAATGAGTCCAAATGATTCATCAATTGCAATAATCATTATTTATGATCAAGCAATTATTTTTTTAAGTGTGAGGGGAAACACCTCCCCATTTGTTCTTCCAAATGACACAGGTGGGTTGGTGCCTGACTGTGGGCACAAATTCAGAGACTGAAGAACTTTTCCAAGTGTCTGTGCCTTTCCCCTGCAGAGGGGGTGATGGAGGTGGTGTCACCCTGCAGGTGACCCTGCTCACCTGTACAGGATGGGGACAGGGACAGACCCTGCAGGTGACCCCTCTGTACAGCACAGGGCCAAGGCCCTTCCCCATGCCCCAGTGCTCCCCTGTCCCTGCAGGGTGCTGGCCCTGGGGCACTGAGGGTTTAGGGGGTGAAAGTGGGGTCCTCCTGTGGGGGACATTTCCTGGGGTGAAACCTTTCCAACCCCCTGCCCACTGCCATGGCCATTGCACCTCCGACTGTGCCCCTGCTGGCAGCTGAGCTTTGTCCTTCCCCTTGCTGGGCCAAATCCTGTTTACAGCAGTTGCCCCCATGGGTGATGGAAACCTGATTTTAATAGTTTAAAAGTTTTTAAATGAAAATTTTCATTGTTTGTGGAGGTTTGTAGTAATGTAGAGTGTATAAAAGGAATGTTGAAATCCCTGCTGTGGTGTACCTGCACTCTTGCCAATCTCACACCATTTTTTCAGAACTCTACAGTCGTGATCTAATCTGTGCTAACAGCTGTGAACAGAATTGGTTTCTGTGCTGGGCCTGACCTTTGGACTGGCTCAGACTGGCTGGTTCCTCAGGGCTGGCACCTGCTCAGTGTCCCCTGTGGACAGGCTGTCACTCCAGCCTGCAGAGGGGCTTTGAGCCCAAAGCCTGGCATCACTGAGGGTGCACCTGGCAGAGCCCCTCTCTCTCTCTCACATTTGCTCACTGGGCAGCACAGGGGCTGTGCACAAACCCTTACCCTGCTCGTGCCCAGGCTGGGGGTACAAATCCCTCTGCCAGCAGTGCCAGAGCAGCTCTTTCCATCCCTTCCTTCCCTCTCTGTCCCACTGTGGCTCCCTGGACCTGCTGCCCCAGCCCCTCCAGCCCTTGGCCGTGGCTCTCCCCAGGCTGAGCTCTCTCAAGCAGAAGCCAAACAAACCTTAAAAGCTTTCTGGGGAAGGAGGGCTGTGCACATGCCTTTAAATGTACCCAAAGAAATGGCTTTTCATCCTCTCTGCCTCCAAGTGTGATTGTATCCCCAGCTGGCCTTGCAGAGGTGCAATTGCTGCTGTGAGAGCTGACCTGAATAACTAAAGATTTGGCTGCTGCTGCACTGGGAAATGCAATCAAAAAGCACTTCTGCTTACTGCAGGTTTCCAACTGATCAGCATTATGCAAATCTCACCTTCCTCGCTGCTTTGTGGCATTAGGAGCAGATAATATGTACAAGGATTAGGACATGAACCCCTCTGCAAGACTCTTCTCTCCCTAAATTCCTTGCAGGTGCCATGAGGGGCTCTACACCTGTCACCCAAAGGAGCATCCAAATATAGAGGACAGCACAGAGAAAGTTTCTCTGCATTTTCTAGAGAAACTTTGCATTCCTTTCAGTGCCCTCTGACTGAACTGCTGTTTATGCACCTTCCCCACTACCATTTAAACTGCTTCAGAAAATCTTTTCACTTTAAGCACATCATTAAAATAACATAGAGAGGCCAGTGAAGCATTAATCTCAACCTTAGGTACTTTGCTGGACAGGGGGCTTCATTAAAACCCTTGATGGAGCTGCGACTTGTTTTCCATTTATCTTTTCTGTTTCCCAAAAAATATTTGCACTTGGGAGCCTTCTATCTGATGCTTGCACAGTACTTAATGGAAATACAAGTGAATACTCTGTAAGGGACAGAGGGAACTTGCTGGTGCAGGCTTGGATTGGGAAAGGGTGAAATTTCCCCTGAAGTAAAACCCAAAATAATAAAGTTGTCTGGGTTCATTTCACATTTCTTTCCTTTCCTTTTTATTAAAGGAAAAGGGTGAAATGACCTGAAAACACAACTTTGGTCTCAGACTGACCACTGCGCTGTGTTTGAGCCTGGCTGATTTTGGCTGGGAGTTTTTCTGGGGTTGATTGTTGCTGGTTTGTTGCTGGTTTGTTGTTTTCCCCATGCCCTGCACCAAAGCTGCTCTCAGCCCTGTCCTCATGGTACCTGCAAGGAAACAACTGAAAACTGTGCCCAAAATCTCTCTGTGAGACAGCACAGCCAGGAACAGAATTAGGGACAGGACTGTGCCCCTGCCTCCTCTCCAGCTGCTCCCCTGTGACCCTCTGGAATGGGCTGGGAATGCCAGGGCTGGGACAGAAGCAGGCACTTGGATCCTGGAGGAACAGATATTAAGAAAAATCACTGGAATTTGACTTTCCTCACAGGGAATTTTGGTGTTAAAATGGCAGTGCAGCGTGGTTTGCAGTGCCATATTAATTGAAATAAAATAGCACCTAGAGGTATGGAAACAAAAGGCATCCATATTCTGAATTTAGTTACAGACATTTCAAAAATTCCACTTAAACAAAAAACCAAATCAGGATTGACTGAGGAGGATCAGCCAGGTCTCAGTTTAATGTCTGGCCTAAAGCTAAGGTAGGGAGAAACTCAGGGAAGTTCATGGTCTTACTGGAATAAGGGGGCATCTGAGTCTCGGCAACTGAATCACACAAAATTACAGAAATTCAGTGTTGGTGGGAATTGGGGAGCTGGTGACTTGTACCTAGAGTGGGTTTTTCTGACCTGTGTCACTTCTGGATCTCTCTCTCTTCCCAGAGCAGGAAGAAATCTCTTTCCCAGTGCTCTCCGAGAGCTGTCATTCACCCCCAATGCAGTTTTGGTGCAAAAAAGGGATTTCTCTCCTCTGTCTCTCCCCATCTTATTTCTTACAGAGTTCAGAAGGAAATGGGTAATGAAGAGCTGCTCATTTGAAGCAGAGCAGGCAGTTTTCCAGGATTTTTCTCTCTGTCCCCTTTGCCTGCTTTCCAGAA